CCTCCTCTGGTGGCCGGGGAGCAGTCGGGGATCGAACCGGCGCCGCAGGGGCCGCGGGCAGCTTCGCAACCCAGTGCTCAACCGCTGCACCACCGGGGAGGCCCTATTCTGAAGTCTTTTAATCCCCCCCATCTTTTAAAACTCCAGTCTCTTGAATCAGTAGCTCAGATTATTCAATACCTGATATATTATATCACTTAGATTAGTTAATCCTTAATAGAGTTGGATTTTTGCAACCTACTTGGTAAAAAGGATTGCTGCTTATGTAGGTTTACCTTGTTTAAACAATACTGATGCTATGTAGTAACACATTGTTGCTAAAACATTTTTCTGCTCTTCTGAACGTGTCTTCCTTGTGCTCTTATACATTGAGAACTGCATTAACATACAAAACTGCAAACTCGTGAGTTACCTGTCTATTCTGAGTTTACTGTGCAGCTCATGTTTATGTAGCTATGACTTCTCTCACACTGTGTATTTTGTGACCTGGGAGCTAATTTTGATTTTTATAACTGAAAATATATTGGAAGTAGCATTGAAAATTAGAATTAACTTTGGGTGATGCAGACTCCTTGCAAGAATTGGGGGTCTCAAAGTATGTAAATACCAGATTATAAATGATTATCACATAAATGATTTCAACTGCCTAGAAGGTTGACTGAAATTTGAATAATAGGTAAAAGAGACAACAGTCACGATCACTAAGTCACCATTACATGGAGCTTTGAGAATGGAAGAACAGTGGTCTACTAGGATATTACCTTTTTTGTTTTTTTAAAGATTTATTTTATTATTTATGCATACAAGAACTGGGGTACAGACCAGAAGTGCAGGGGGTGAGAGACTTCACCAGACAGAGTGGGGAACAGAACAGGCAGATTGAGAGCGGTCGCGTCAGGAGAGGTCTTCTGTGCCATGTGGGTAGCTCCCTGGATGGCCGGGGATCGAACTTGTGCTGCAGAGGCTACTTTTTGCTTTATAGGTTGCGTCTTAACCCCTTGCACCACCAGGGAGGCCCTACCAGGATATTATCTTTATAGAGACTAGCAACATCCCAATATAATAGTGATTAGTTAAGCTTCATTTACCCCTTCCTCATAGAACAGCATTCTTCACCAAGAAGAATTTTCTGTGATGGCAGATACATTCTGTATCTTGGTTGTCTAATATAGTAGCCACTAGTGGCATATGGCTATTGAACACTTTAAATGTGGTTAATGTGACCGAGGAACTGAATTTCTTATTTATTTTTTTTAATTTTAACTGATTTATATTGAAATAGCCACTCATCTGGTGGCCAGTATATTGGAGAGTAAAGTTATACAAGATTATAACACTTGAGGGCCTTCCCGGTGGCTCAGCAGGTTGAGCGCAGCGCTGTGAAGCTGTCCGCAGCCTCTGCAGCACGGGTTCGATTCCTGGCCGGCCAGGGAGCAACCCACATGGCGTGGGAGACTTCTCCTGTCTCTCCTGCTGTTCCCCTCAACAGTGTATTTCGGTCAGTCTGCTTGTTCTGTTCCCCACTCTGTCTCTGGTGAATCCTCTCACCCTTGCCTCTGGCCTGTACCCGTTTTTGTATAAATAAAATAAATCTTTTTTTAAAAAAAGATTATAACACTTGAAATATTTGATATATAAAAATTCTATTTTGGGGCCTCCCCGGTGGCGCAGTGGCTGAGCGCTGGGTTGCGAAGCTGCCCGCAGCCTCTTCAGTGCCGGTTCGATCCCCGGCTGCTCCCCGGCCACCAGAGGAGGGTCCCACATGGCGCTCAGCCCTTTCCTGCCGCCCGCTGCTCCCCTCAGCAGTGTACTTCGCTCCTTCTGCCTGCTCTGCTCCCCGCTCTGGCTCCGGTGAATTCTCTCACCCTCCCGCGCTTCTGACTGTACCCAGTGCTTGTATAAATAAATAAAAATAAATCTTTAAAAAAAAAAAATTCGATTTTGTACCTTGATTTCTTATTCTTAAAAGGTAGTGAATATTGGGCCTCCCCGGTGGCGCAGCAGTTGAGCGCTGGGTTGCGAGGCTGCCCGCAGCCTCTGTGGCGCCGGTTCGATCCCCGGCTGCTCCCCGGCCACTGGAGGAGGGTCCCGCATGGCGTGCAGACCTCTCCTGCCGCCCGCTGCTCCCCTCAGCAGTGTACTTCGGTCCTTCTGCCTGCTCTGCTCCCCACTCTGGCTCTGGTGGCTTCTCTCACCCTCCCGCGCTTCTGACTGTACCCAGTTCATGTACTAACAAAATAAACAAATAAATAAATAAATAAATAAATAAATAAAATATGCCTCTATTTAAAAAAAAAAAAGGTAGTGAATATTTTCAGTCATTGGGTGCATTATGGGCTTAGAATAGAATCTCAAAAACCAATTTCAGAAGGTTGATAGGACCCACTAGTTAGAACTTATGCCCTAGATTTTGCTGTCTTTTCCTCTAGTCTCATTGCAGTTAACCTCATTTTGAACCTCCATTGGTGTTGATATTTCCTTTCTATTTAAAGCCATTTCATTAGTGTGGTTCACTTTTCTGCCTATCTATGATATGACTTACCTTAAAAATAAAAGATGATACAGGGGGCCTCTCTGGTCGCGCAAGGGGTTAAGCATAGCACTATGAAGCTGTCCGCAGCCTCTGCAGCATGAGTTCAATCCCCAGCCAGCAAGCAACCCACATGGCACAGCAGACCTCTCCTGTCTTGCCTGCTGCTCCCCTCAGCTGTGTTTTCAGTCTGCCTGTTTTGTTCCCCACTCTTTCTCTGGTGAATCCTCTCACCGACACCTCAGGCCTTACCCCGGTTCTTGTATGCATAAATAAATCTTTAAAAAAAGGTAATGTGGTATGCACTTAGTTACCGTGTATTTATCCCATTTGGGATGTTTATTCCCACCTCACAGTCTCCTTCCCCTTTTTAAATAAAGATCTCATTTTTTAAAATTTTGTTTTTATTTTTTAAATTTTTATTTTTATTTATACATATACTGCAGAGGGGAGCAGCAGGCAAGGCAGGAGAGGTCTGCTATGCCATGTGGGTTAACTCCCTGGCCAGGGATTGAACTCAGGCCGTGGGATGGTGGTAGCACTGAAGCTAACCCCTGAGCCACTCGGGAAGGCCCTAATTTTTTTTTTTTAATTTATTTTTGTGTAGAAGAACTGGGGTGTAGGCCAGAGGTAATAGGGGATGAAAGGATTCAGCAGACATATTGGAGAGAAGAGCAGGCAGATTTACTGAAATACACCCTTAAGAGGATCAGTGAGTGAGACAGGAGAGGTCTGCTGCACCATGTGGCTTAAGTCCCGGCCAGGGATTAAACTCAGGTCCCCCAACATGGGCCATCGTGGTTATACCTCTGAAACTTAACCCCTAGACTACCCTGAGGCCCCAGAGTCTCCTTTATTAATTTTTGAAATTCATTGGTTTTGCAAAGAATAAGGGAATTTACAAGAACTCTAAACATGATTTCTGGCATGTGTTTGCCTTGCTTTGTCGTTGTTGGTTTTTTTAAAACTTTTTTGTAGAAGAACTGGGGTGTAGACAAATGTGCAGGGGATGAGAGGCTTCACCAGAGACAGAGTGGTGAGCAGACAGGTGGATTTACTGAAATACACTGCTAAGGTGAGCAGCGGGTGAGACAGGAGAGGTCAGCTGCTTCATATGTGGGTTCGCTCCTTTGTCGGGCATCAAACTGAGGCTGTAGAGGTGATAGCGCTGAGACTTAACCCTTCGTCCATCAGGGGGTGCCTAAATTTTTTATACCTTGGACCCCTTTTCCCCCCAAACTGTAATGTTCCAGGGAACTAGTCTGTTTTCCAGGAGACACAATTTTGGGAAGTGTAATGCTAGAATGGAATTTTTAGTTGGTTGCTTTTTTGCATTTAATGGAATTACATAAAAGCATCGAATAAAATCTTTTTCATGTTCTCTTGTTCTCTTCAACTTTTAATCTAAATATACATTAGCCATTAAGTACCTAAATCTGTTATTCTGAATCTACCCCTCAATTATTTGGCTTAAGCAGGTGATCATTTTAAATCACTAAATGGTTAAATATTTTATCTTTTTTTTTCCCCCCTAAAGATTTATTTATTTATCTATACAAGCACTGGGTACAGTCAGAAGCGCGGGAGGGTGAGAGAATTCATCAGAGCAGAGCAGGGAACAGAACAGGCAGACTGATGAAGTACACTGCTGAGGGGAGCAGCGGGCGTGGCAGGAGAGGTCTGCACACCATGTGTGACCCTGGCCAGCGACCAGGGATCCAACCGGCGCTGCAGAGGCTGCGGGCAGCCTCGCAGCCCAGCACTCAACCGCTGCGCCACCAGGGGAGGCCCAATATTTTATCTCTTAATTCTCAGTATTGTAGTGTACTAAAATTGAAAACTTACTGTGCTTTTTAGGTGTTTTGTTTCCTGGTTTTATAATTATTATTTTTTTTAATTTCCCATCTGTTTAATACCATTATATTTCTCCAGGTACAGTGTGAGTAAAATTCAATAAGCCTCAAATTGATTCTTTAATGCAAAGTAGAAGTGCATGAAAATTCTGTCTAGTAGGACGTTTTCAGTGTGGGTCTTCTTCTTTTTTTTTTTTAAAATTTTATTTATTTATTTTATTTATTTATACAAGCACTGGGTACAGTCAGAAGCGCAGGAGGGTGAGAGATTTCACCAGAGCGGGGAGCAGAGCAGGCAGAAAGACTGAAGTGCACTGCTGAGGGGAGCAACGGGCGGCAGGAGAGGTCTGCGCGCCATGTGGGACCCTCCTCTGGTGGCCAGGGAGCAAGCAGCTGGGGATCGAACTAGCGCTGCAGAGGCTGCGGGCAGCTTCGCAACCCAGCGCTCAACCGCTGCGCCACTGGGGAGGCCCCAGTGTGGCTTCTTATGTAATACAACCTTGCTATATGATTCTTACTATAATGGGTAACTAAACACTCATGGAAAAATCTTGGAATGGATCCAAATAACCTTGATTTCTACTCCCCCCCCCCCTTTTTTTTAAATCTCATTTTAGCTGCATTGGGTGTTCAGCAACCATCACTCCTTGGAGCATCTCCTACCATTTATACACAGCAAACTGCATTGGCAGCAGCAGGCCTTACCACACAAACCCCAGCAAACTATCAGTTAACTCAAAGTGCAGCATTACAACAACAAGCCGTAGCTGCAGCAGCTGCATTGCAACAGGTGAATGAATCTTCAGTAGGTTTTAATATGTGACATAGAAAACTTATCAAATCTGTTCCTTCATTGTTTAAAGAATTGAGTGGTTGTGGAATTTTATTATGTTTATAGTTTTTTCTGATGATAAAAATTATATATACTCAGGATGTACAGAGAAATAGTTACATAGACAAAATTCTTAAACTGGGTAGTTCTTAGACCTTAAATATTTGAACAAAATTCAGTTTTTGGTGGATCCCAGATTTAAGTCCTCACCATTTTGTTTAGTTTAGATGAAGGTTTATTCTAGAAAATGTCTTTTAGTGTAATTTTGCTTATGTATTTATATGTATGTATCTCACTTTTTGAGAATGAATAGAACTATTATTCATATGTTTCTTTTAAAAATCTTCTTTTCCAGCAATATTCACAACCTCAGCAGGCCCTCTATAGTGTGCAACAACAGGTCAGTTTATATTTTCTGTGTTGAAATTGATTTAGAAATAGCGACTTACTCAAATTTAATTGCATAGATTCTGTTTCCTTTTAGTTACCTTTACCTTAATGTGTGATTTGAATTTGGGGGGTGTGGGAGAAATGAGATGCATAAGGGATAGGCCAATAGGAGAGAGATCCTTAAAACCCAGATTTTCACCCGGCTGCCAGTCTTTGTCACATGTCAAGAAAGCATACAGAGGATAATCTCAAAAGACTTATTGTGTTACTGAATCTTTGGCCCAATATACCTGCTTGAAATCTCTGGCCTTATTGTATGAAAATAAAGAGAGCTTTTTTTTCTATTTGAAGAAAAAACCCTAGAGAGACTGTACTTTAGCCTTTTTATTTTTTTTTTAAGACAGCAATACCTTCCTTCCCCCCTGCCACTTCCATTCAAATGACATATAGAAACCCAATATATAGAATATTAAAATAGAAATTTTGAAAATGGGAGGAAGCCTCCCCTTATCTATTTTCTACTCCCAAGGCACATTTGAACAATTTGAAAATTTCTAACTTAGTCTATAAAAGGAAAGTTTCTTTCACCCCTTTTCCCTCGGCTTACACTCTAATCATATTCTTCAAGTAATGATAGGAATAGGAAAGACAAACTGAATCTAAGGAGATGCATGTCAAGGAAAAAAATTTACCTTGCTGAAATCTAGATAGGTTCTAGCCTAATCACCTGCCTTATACTTAGAGACTAAGTCTTCTTTTCTTCTCAGTGTCATTAAGAACCTTTAGGAAAGTGTGGCATTTAGGAGTGGGGAAGGGTATATAAAAGAGGAGCAAAAACTGTATCCAAAGGCACCATGGAGACACATGAGGCTCCTCAAAACATAAAGTGTTATCCCTAGTTCCATGACCCATTTTTATTCTTGGCTTAAGTCCTTAGAGGTTTTAGGATCATTGTATTTTTCCTGAGAATTACAATATCCCACTGATAATTGCTTTAAACTTCTAAAAAAAAAAGGAAAAGTGATTGATGCCAAATTGGCTATCTTTTTATTTATTTATTTATTTATTTAAAAAATTTATTTATTTATGCATACAAGAGCTGGGGTACAGGCCAGAGATTGGGTGTGTGTGTGAGAGAGCATTCACCAGAGACAGAGTGGGGAACAGAACAGGCAGATTGACTGAAATACACTGCTGAGGGGAGCAGCAGGTGACTCAGGAGAGGTCTGCTACGCCATGTTGTTGCTCCCTGGCTGGCTGGGGATCAAACTCATGCTGCAGAGGCTGCAGATTGCTTCATAGTGCTGTGCTTAACCCCTTGCGCCACCAGGGAAGCTCCTGTCTTTTTTTTTTTAAAGTAATCTTCAACTTATTTAGTGCTGTTATGAAATACATTAAAACTGTTATGTTGAACCACTTGAAAATGGCAGTACTAAAATGTTCTTGCCTTTAAAAATGCCATAACTCAGCCATCCTTGAATTAGAGAAAAATCATACTTTGGTAGATTTAACTTATATCATGGTGAGCTTGGGTATAATAGAGATAAATAACCTCCATTAATGGTGACCCTGAGCAAACTGTTTGAATTAGAACCTCATATGGGTTATTTTATCATAACTAAAATCAAGTTTCTTATCCAAAGTTTTAAAATTTCCTCCCTCACATCAATACCTTTTACTTTTCTATTGCCAGAAAAACATTTGTCAGCAAGAGGATATATTCCGTTATAGTCCCTATGCCCATGGTAACTGAGCCATCAGGAGTGCTTCTCATTTTAGGGATAGATATGAAGTACATAGCTGCTGATAATTTTTGTTACAAGTAGCATATTGATGAGGCTGAATCTTAGCAAGTGGCAGAATGAGAACTCTTTCCCTCAAGGAACCTGACTTTTTTTGTGGGTGTTATTCCTATGAAATAACAAAAAAGATAAAGTCCTTTATTGCTACCAAATGAGTTATATAGCACATCTACAGTTAGAATTATTTTAGGAAATCTGATGACTTCTGTTACTTTACATATTACTTATTTTTGGTGTTTTGTTTTTGTTTTTTACATTTTAAAAGACAGATTTATAAGGAAAAGAAGAGAGAAAGAAAAAGACATCCGCATAGTTCCAGGCAGGCAGGGGAGCTCCTATGTATTTTTTAATTAGAAGTAAAGTACCCACTTAATTGGAATTTTTCCTTCTTTAAAGCTTCTATAAAACAATAAATCTGATCAATCATTTTCTTTTTCTTTCCTTTTTTTGTTTGTTTTTCTATTTTCAGTTACAGCAACCTCAGCAGACTCTTTTAACACAGGTTAGTTTGGTATTACTTTATTTTTTTGGCTGAGTGAAGAGTAGAGCAAAGTTTTACTCCTATTCTGGTTTTTCTTTCAGAGTGTAGAGAAGAATGTTTGTTGGAGTTCCATAATAGTTTAGCAATAAAATGTTAAGATGGAAAGTATGTTGTTTATGTTTTTTCTTATGTGGTTTTGATGACAGATCAAAGCTGGTTTGAATAAATATAAGATCTTAATACCGATTTTAGATTTTATACTTTCTTATAGCTAATATTTTTAGGAAGTTTTTTGTAGATGTTAGATTTTTTTTTAGCTTGATATTAGTAGGTGCTAATTGTATTCCATCATCGGCTTAATTTTCAACAACATTAAAATGATATGAAGTGCTACTTTAGACTTTGTGAACCAGTCATGGACTCTTGCATATATATTTTTTCTTCTTTACAGCCTTTTAAAAGTTTAAAATACATTGTTGGTTTATAAGCTATTCAAATCCTTAAGTTTTGGTCTGGATTTGGCCCATGAGCCATGGAACAGTGATCTCTGGTATGTGCTAAAGTGAAATGCTATGCAATTGTTAAAAAGGAAGTAGAACCTCTAATAACTAGTGATCAGAAGTGGTTCATGGTTAGGGAACTGGATAAGCTGAGGATCAGGAGTAGGAGAGAAACTTCTCACTGTGTAATTTTGAGAAATTTCTTACTGTGTAATCTGTTGTACCTGTTAGCCTTGAACCTGTTGTCTTTTTTTTTTTTTTTTTTAATAAAGCACAGTTCGTTGAGAAATCAACCCCATTTGTCTTTACTAAAGAGCTGAAATTAACTAAAACTTATGTTTTTAATCTCTAATAGTAGAATTTCCAAATTAATTAGAAAAGCTATGAAAGGTTGTCTTTCCTAAGAATAGTATTTCCTAAAGTGTGTCCAGAAAGCATTAGTTTCTTAGGATATTAAATTTCATAAGAAAATAATTTTGTGGTTATTGTTTTAAGAAATGCTTAGTTTTTTTTTTTTTTTTTTTTTTTGTTTGTTTGTTTGTTTTTTGTGGGACCCTCGCTGGTGGCCAGGGATGGAACTGGCGCTGCAGAGGCTGCCTCGCAACCCAGCGCTCAACCACTGTGCCACCAGGGGAGACCCAATGCTTAGTTCTTTTATTATTTATAGTATCTTGCTTTTTTAGGTATAGAACTGAGAGAGTGGCTTTATCTCGCAGCAGGTATAGAACAAATCCCATGATTTGAATTGAAGAATCAGATGATAGTTTTCTTCTTTTTAATGATTTTATTTCTTTTATATACAGAAGTTTTAATGTTACTGTCCATGCTTGATTGTGCCAGAAAAAAGACAAATAAAAATAATGTTTTCCCTCCAGTTTTATTGAGATGTAATTGATACAATATTTATTTAAGGAATACAAAAAAATGATTTGATACATGTTTATGTTGTGAAATTATCACCACAATAAGTTTAGGTAACATATATCATGTGACAGTTAAATTTTTTTCTTCTGATGAGAACTATGAAGATCTCTGAGCAATTTAAAATATATAATACAGATATTATCTATAGTAACTTATTTATATTACATCCCCAAAATTTATTTGTCTTATAACTAGAAGTATGTACTTTTTGATCATCTTTACCCATTTTTCCCACCCTCTCCTTTGGCAACCATCAATCTGTTCTCTTTTTCTATGGGTACTTTGATTTTTGTTTTTGTTTTTGTTTTTTTTTAGATTCCACATATATATGAGATCATACAAAAGCTGTTTTATCTGATTTATTTCACTTAATATTTTTTTGAGTCTTTATATTATACTGTTAATGCATTTTGAATTTTTAAGAGTCAACTAAATATGCTGTGTTTTTTAAAAATCCATTGCAATATTGTATCTTTTTCCCTTTGGAACAACCTGTGAAGACATTCATCTAAGGGGACTTCATGATGAGATAGATCAACAATAATTCAAAAATTCTCAGACTTGGGAGTTAGAAAATGTGTCTTATAACTTCAAATAAATTATTTTTATCATTGGAGTTAGTTTTAAATAGTGATTTTTAATTCTAGGTTGTTTTAAATCCTAGAATTAAATTACCTTAATTTGGTGTTGATTTTGTTTTATAGCCAGCTGTTGCACTGCCTACAAGCCTTAGCCTGTCTACTCCTCAGCCTGCAGCACAGATAACTGTATCATATCCAACACCAAGGTCCAGTCAACAACAAACCCAACCTCAGAAACAGCGTGTTTTTACAGGGGTGGTTACCAAACTACACGATACTTTTGGATTTGTGGATGAAGATGTATTTTTTCAGCTTAGGTAAACCTCATTGGTGTTGGCAAATGCCTTCTTGTATTTAAGCATTAAATACTTAGCATTAAGGCATCTGTTTCAATCATGGCATAGAATTGTGGTTTAGATCTAATTTTCTGTTTCAGTTACCAGTTTGTATTATATTTATACCTCTGACTTTTTTTAATGGGGAATGTGTCTGAAGTTAGCATTTGATCTTGGGACATACTGATTATGGTGAATACTTTATAACTGTTTTGTAGGAGTGAGTTGATATTTCTAGCAATATTCATAAACAGACTGGGATTAAAATAGTCAGGGCTTTTATTTTATTATTTTTTTTTTTTAATGATGAATCTCAAGATTCAGTTTATTTTTTATTTATTTATTTATTTTTTTTAAATATTTATTTATTTATTTATACAAGCACTGGGTACAGTCAGAAGCGCGGGAGGGCGAGAGAATTCACCAGAGCCAGAGCGGGGAGCAGAGCAGGCAGAAGGACCGAAGTACACTGCTGAGGGGAGCAGCGGGCGGCAGGAGGGGTCTGCGCGCCATGTGGGACCCTCCTCCAGTGGCCGGGGAGCAGCCGGGATCGAACCGGCGCTGCAGAGGCTGCGGGGCAGCTTCGCAACCCAGCGCTCAACCGCTGCGCCACCGGGGAGGCCCAATAGTCAGGGCTTTTAAAATTTAATCTTCTGTGTGACATCTGATGACAGTATATACTAAATTTTTATTGACAATGCATGGGATTGAATCACGATCTGTAGTGGTTACAGGAAGTAGGAATTTCTTTAGCTATTTAATATTTTTTGAAGATTTATTTATTATTTTTATTTATTTATTGCATAGAATAATTGGGGTATAGGCCAGAGGTGCGGAGATGAGAGGATTCACCAGAGACAGAGTGGGGAGCAGAACAGGCAGACTGATTGAAACACACTGCTCAGGGGAGCAGCGGGCAAGACAGGAGAGGTCTGCTGTGCCATGTGGGTAGCTTCCTGGCCGGCCAGGGATCAAACTTAAGCTGCAAAGATTGCAGATAGCTGCAGAGTGCTGTGCTTAACCCCTTGCACCACCAGGGAGGCCCCCAAAACAAATCTTAATTTTTTTTTTAAATTTATTTATTTATACAAGCACTGGGTACAGTCAGAAGCGCGGGAGGGTAAGAGAATTCACCAGAGCCAGAGGGGAGAGCAGAGCAGGCAGACTGACGAAGAAATCCCCTGCTGAGGGGAGCAAGGGGCGACAGGAGAGGTCTGCGTGCCATGTGAGACCCTCACTGGCGGCCAGGGATCAAACCGGCACTGCAGAGGCTGTGGGCAGCTTCGCAGCCCAGCGCTCAACCACTGCACCACCAGGGGAGGCCCTGTATCTACTTTTTAAAGGGGCTACTTAGACTTCTGTTTTGGATATATTTAACTTTAAAATACTAAATATTTAAATCTTTTTTAGAGGCATCTTTTATTCATATTTGTCTTTTATTTATTTTGCAGTGCTGTAAAAGGGAAAACCCCTCAAGTGGGAGACAGAGTATTGGTTGAAGCTACATATAATCCCAATATGCCTTTTAAATGGAATGCACAAAGAATCCAAACGCTGCCAAATCAGGTATATAAATTACCGAATTTTGTAATACAGAAGCTTGGTTATTGAGTCTTCCAATTCACAAAGACTTTTTTCTTTATTCTCTTACTATTAAGAATCAGTCCCAAACCCAACCCTTACTGAAGACTCCTCCTGCAGTACTTCAGCCTATTGCACCGCAGACAACATTTGGTGTTCAGGCTCAACCCCAGCCACAGTCCCTGCTGCAGGCACAGATTTCAGCAGCTTCTATAACACCATTATTGCAGACTCAACCACAACCTTTATTACAGCAGCCACAGCAGAAAGGTATACGCATTAGAGCTTTGCTTTTTATGGTTCAGACTAATACCTAATTGTCTAGTTGTTAAAATAATGAAAGTGCACTTTTAATTACAAAGGTGTAATTAAGGGGCTTCCGGAGAACATGACAGCGAGCTTAAGTACCTTGCATAGACTGCTTCTAGTTCTATAGCTATATGGAAGTATGTTGTTCTATAGCTATATGGAAGTATGAAGCTATATGGAAGTGTGTGTGTTTTTTTAATGGCCTGTTGTGATAAAATAAATCCAGGAACTGGGAAATTCAGATATATGTTCTTTGTGAACTTAAAATAAATACCAGAACTATTAATCCCCTGACTCATTACTAGTGTTTTATCTGTGATACTGGAAAATGTTTATAAGACTTCTGTAGCCATACCAACATTTTATGTACATGTGAAATCTGGTAGTAGCACTTTAGATTACACTTGGAGCCATCATGTATCAGATAAATGAGCCCTCTTAAATTTTTCTTTGCAAATTGGTAGTTTGGAATGCTAGACATTTTCTTATTCAAACAGTGTCAGAAATGATAACCTGGACTTACGGAAGCCTTCTTAATGGTATTTTCAAAAGTATAATTGTGGCATTTTTACTTACAAATTATGACTTACTTATGACAAAATTATAAAACATTACAATGTAACAAGGTATTTCATAAGCGTCTATATAATTACTACTTGGGTGATACAATGTTGCTAACATAACTTTTTCTTTTTTAAGTAGTTTTTTCCTTAATATAGGCATCCTAGTAATGCAGTTTGGCTCTGATTTTGAAATTTACATGATGTGTGATTCTTTTTTTTTTTTTTTAAAGATTTATTTATTTATTTATTTATACAAGCACTGGGTACAGTCAGAAGCACGGGAGGGTGAGAGAATTCACCAGAGCCAGAGCAGGGAGCAGAGCAGGCAGAAGGACCGAAGTACACTGCTGAGGGGAGCAGCGGGCGGCAGGAGAGGTCTGTGCGCCACACAGGACCCTCCTCCGGTGGCTGGGGAGCAGCCAGGGATCGAACTGGCACTACAGAGGCTGCAGGCAGCTTCGCAACCCAGTGCTCAACTGCTACGCCACCGGGGAGGCCCGATGTGTGATTCTTTTTATGTAATCTTTTATAATAGAATTTTTTCTGATGTTTTAAAATTTTTCATACTAATTATTCCATGCAACTATTTTTTTCATTTTCATAATTATATAAGATTCCATTGTTTGGATATTACATAATTTATCTGTTCTTTAGTAAATGTTTGAATTATTTCTTTTTTTTAATGAGATTTATTTATTTATGCATACAAGAGCTGGGGTACAGGCCAGAGGTGTGGGGGGTGGTGAGAGGATTCACCAGAGACAGAGCAGGGAACAGAACAGGCAGATTAACTGAAATACACTGCAGGTCTTGAGTGTCAGGAGTGACTGAATACACTCCTATCTTGCAGCGGGCAAGATAGGAGAGGCCTGCTGCGCCATGTGGGTTGCTCCCTAGTCGGCCAGGGATCGAACTCCTGCTGCAGAGGCTGTGGATTGCTTCATAGTGTGGTGCTTAACCCTTTGCACCACCAGGGAGGCCCCGTTTGTATTATTTCTTGGCTGTGTTTTCTGAAATGCTATGAATGTTCTCATATACATGTCCAGGGGCAATGTGCACAAATTACTGTGAGAGTTTATCCTAAACTTTTTTTTTTTTTTTTTAGATTTATTTATTTATATAAGCACTGGGTACAGTCAGAAGTGTGGGAGGGTGAGAGAATTCACCAGAGCCAGAGCAGGGAGCAGAACAGGCAGAGTGACAAAGTATACTGCTGAGGGGAGCAGAGGGCAGTAGGAGAGGTCTGCGTGCCATGTGGGACCCTTGCCTGGCGGCCGGGGATCGAACCAGCGCTGCAGAGGCTGCGGGCAGCTTTATAACCCATCGCTCAACCCGCTGTGCCACCGGGGAGGCCCAGAGTTTGTCCTAAACTTAACTTACCTCATTAATGCAAACTGTTTCCAGACTACTTGGTTCTTCCATATAGATGATCTTTAGTTTTAAGATTTTTGATTATTTTCCTTAGAGATTTTATTTTCCATTTGTAAATTGGTACTTAAATAACCATTTTTCCCCTTGCCTGCCTCAAGAGATACTGCTTCTGTTGAAGGACTCAGGAAAGTAGTTGTGTTTTGGGGTGGTGATGTGTTCCATGGGGGTGATTGACAGAAATAATGAAGGTATGGTAGAAAAGAAATGTTGTGGAATGAGGTTGATGTTAGTGGTGTTGGGTGTTAGCTAAGGTTCAGTTGCTAGAAAGGTAGGGAAATTTCCATGGGCCATTAGTATTCTGTCAGTAATCAGTATCTATTCATCTTAGTTGGAATAGTGTTATTTAACATAAGGAACATTGGTGAATTGGCTGGGTTTTTCTCCCTTCCCCAAGTTTATACTATGGAATATTTCAACTGTATAAAAACATTTAAAGACTAGTGTAGCGATTATTTGTATACTCACAACCTTGAATAATTGTTAACATTTTACCATGTTTTTATCTGCATACATGTGTACAAATCTATATTTTTTGCTTCATCATTTGAAGTAATTAGTAGACTTTGTGGCATTTCACTAAACTAATCTAATCACATCAAAGAAAAAGCAAGTAAACATCCTATTTATATTCAAATATCTCCCAACTATCTTACAAAGTCTTTTTTATCTTTTTTCTAATTGGTAAACCAATCAAGTTTCTTACACTATATGTTTCTTTATCCTAGAATAGTTTATCCTTTCTTTCTTTGATACTTTTTGAAGAAACTAGGCTAGTTGACTTGTTGGTTCTTTTGTCTTGATTCCTTGTTTTTTTACCTTTGGCAAGAACATTCTATACGTGTGCTTTTTGTAATTCATAATTATTTTATTTTTTTAAAGATTTATTTATTTATGCATACAAGAACTGGGGTACAGGCCAGATGTGTGGGGCAGGTGAGAGTATTCACGAGCAACAGAATGGGGAACAGAACAGGCAGACTGACTGAAATACACCGCTGAGGGGAGCAACAGGCAAGACAGGGGAGGTCTGCCGCACCATGTGGGTAGCTCCCTGGCTGGGGATTGAACTCGTGCTGCAGTGGCTGGGGATCGCTTCATAGGTTTGTATCTTAACTTCTTGCGCCACCAGGGAGGCCCTGTAATTTGTAATGTATAATACTAGAAGGCACATGTTGTCAAGTTCTTCCTATATTATATTGTTCATGCTGAGTTTGATTACTTGGTCAAAGTAGTGGCCATAAATCTGTCCATAATAAGGGGTTCCTTTTTCTCTGTGCAAGTGATCTCTGGATTATTCTTACATCTTCTGAATATCTTGTAAAGCAGTTTAGTTTAATGTCTATAGACTAAAGGATTGGCAACCTGTAACTCTTGGATTTGGTTTATGGTCTGGTTTTGTATGGTACCCGAGCTAATAAAAACAAATTTTACATTTTTAAAGGGCTGCAGGGGAAAAAGATCTCTGCCTTTTCTGGGCCACAAAACTTTTAAAAAGTCAACTTTTCTATCTATAAAATTTAATTAGATAATACATTTGATTTAGTTTAAAACCTTTTTTCTTTATCTTTTAAAGCTGGTTTATTGCAGCCTCCTGTCCGTATAGTTTCACAGCCACAACCAGCACGAAGGTTAGATCCACCATCCAGATTTTCAGGAAGGAATGACAGAGGGGATCAAGTGCCTAACAGAAAAGATGACCGAAGGTATGTTTTTAAAAGCAAGTTTTTGATGATGGTGATGACTGCACAATGTGAATATACTTAATTTACTAAACTGTATACTTAAAAATTATTAAAATGATAATTTTATGTCATGTATATTTTACCACAATTTTAAGTTATTTTTTTAAACGCATACTGTAGAATCTTGCTAGTATTAGTTATTATATTTATTTTATTAAAGAACTGGGAAAAACTGAATAGTAAAGACTATAAAATAACTTGTTTTGAGAGGTGGCTATATAGGGTAAACTAGGTCAGTTGTGTGGTAACGTATGGAATTAGACTTTGATGGTAAGCTTAATATGGTATATACAGATGTAGATTTATAATGATGCACATCAAAAACTAACAATGCAGTGCTACATCTATAAAATGTACAAAAAAACAGAACTTTGATAGAGACAGAAGTATTAGTAATTTCAGAAAATTTTGTTTTAAGTCGTGAAAGGGAGAGAGAAAGACGTAGATCCAGGGAAAGATCTCCTCAGAGAAAACGTTCCCGGGAGAGATCTCCTCGAAGAGAGAGAGAGCGATCACCTCGAAGAGTTCGAAGAGTTGTTCCACGTTATACAGTTCAGTTTTCAAAGTTTTCTTTAGATTGGTAAGTTCTTCCCCTCCCCCACCATTTTTTTTAATTACTAATTTTGTATTATTTGGTAGGATGTGTTAAATAGCGATATTTTTCTTGAAACTTGCATTTCCTAACAATTTAGTCCTCATATAAGTGGGCAGAAATGCAATTTGAAGTAGCAGTTTAGCTCTTTGCAATGATGCTTTACTTTTGTAAAGCATATTGGCTACTGACAAAGTCAGCTCCTCTGTGATAAAGTTGTTCCTTAAAGTTAAAATCTTTCGAGATGTAGATTTATTTATATTTATTACATCATCCTTTATTTTTGTATATTGTATGATTTCCCATGAAATTCCCATCACCAATTCACCCATGCACCGTCACCATAATCCCTTGTGCTCTTCCCACCCCTGTCCTGATCCTTCTCCCTCCTCCTCCCCTACAGAATGTCTCAGGTCTATGGTTGCCTATTGATCTTGATTTTTACTTTATTATAGTTATTTTTTTCCTTTGATCCCTTATTTGGTTCCTTTCCATTTCTCCTGTAAGTGTAACCACCTGGTATTTTTCTTTTTCTTTCTGGCTTATTTTACTGAGCATAATCCCTTGCAGCTCTATCCATGTTGCTGTGAATTACATGAGTTTATCTTTTTCATTGCTGAGTAATATTCCATTTTATATATAAACCACATCTTCTTGATTCAGTCATCTGGTTTTGGGCATTTGGGTTGTTTCCTTTGCTTACCTATTGTAAATAGTGCTGCAATAACCAGGTGTCCTTTTGAATTAATGTTTTTGTGTCCTTTGGGTAGATACCTAGGAGTGGAATTGCTGGATCATATGGAAGCTCCATTTTTAGTAGTTTGCGGAACCTCTACACAGCTTTCCATAGTGGTTGGACCAGTTTGCATTCCCTCCAGTAGTGTAGGAGAGTTGAGTTTCTTTTTCTCCACATCAAGATGTAAATTTATTAAGTTCATGTATATTCTTTTGTATATGATGGAATAATAATACAGCAGTGAACTGATTATTTAAAGTTAACTGGTAATGTAGTATAGAAATATGACCTACATACACACAGACATGTGATGTATGTGCTGTGTATATACATACAGAGTTTTCAGCCTTGGAATCAGAAGTTGGGCAAATTACCAAGAATTTCTGAGCTTTCACTGCCAAATGGAAATAATATATCAATTAGCAAAAATTTTGTGAGGTTAAATTAAATTCATTTATCTAAAGCACTTAAACCAGTGTGTGGCAGTTCAGTAATTAGTGGTGGTAGTGTGGGTTGTGAGGGCCAGCTAGGCAAAGTTGCTAAGTAGTAATTCATAAAAAGGTATATTGATAGATCAGTAATTTACTCTAAGAAAAAGGTGGCACTGGGATTGACAATTGTGTATTTGATACACTGTAGAAAAACAAACTTAGAGTAAAATAAGAGATCTAAACAATTAAAAGAGGTGTATAAAGTTGGTTACTATAGGAACAAATAACTGTACACAAATAACTGTAACAAATAACTGTCATTGTCCTTCGAGGGTAATGCTACGTTTCACCGAAGTATAATAATTAATATTCAGGGGCCTCCCTGGTGGCCTAGGAGTTAAGTCTCAGTGCTATCACCACTAAGGCCTGAGTTTGATCCCCTACCAAGGAGCAGACCCACATATGGTGCAGCAGACCTCTGCTGTCTCACCTGCTCCCCTCAGCAGTGTATTTCAGTAGATTCATCTGTTAGATTTCCCCACTCTGACTCTGGTAAATCCTCTCACTCCCTGCACCTCTGATCTATACCCCAGTTCTTCTACACAAAAATAAATAAAATAAAAAGCATTTAAAAAATAACATTCATAATATTGGCCTTTTAAGAGATAAAGTTTCTATATATTCAGTTCTAGATTTTATTAAATCTATTGAATGTTCCAAAAATCTAGCTTGGTGACTTGACTTAATTGTTCTGTAGTTGGTATTCATTTACTCTCACGGGGAAATCAGCAAGTACTCTTTATACTAGCTTTCTTGTTAACCCTTTTTATTTTGGTATTAAATAGTTAGTTTACACATTTCAGATAAATTGATTGGAACCAAAACTATTCCTGCCCCACATACGTTAAATAGAGCAGTTCTCCTTTTAACTCATCTGTTTCCAATGTAGAAAGCTATTCTAGGAAGAGTTGACGCATAGGATATAAATTGAACAGCTGTCTTTCTCCTTCAAAGTAAAATCTTCAGTTTCACTGCACCACTTTGAACTGAATTCCCAGAACATCAAATGATCCTTATTACAAATAAAAATTATTTTAAATGTCCATACCTCTTCTGTGGTTATGGAAATCAAGATTTTCTGATGGTAATAAGTGTGATAGACTCTATGTCAAGAAATGATTTACTTATACTTCTTTTGCCTTATAGATTTCATTCCTCCTATGCAGTGTAAAATATATGACCACAAAAATTCTGGTGATGGGGCACTAGAGAGCTATAACAAATATGTCCTGTTTGCAGCACTTCTTTTAAAAACAAAAACAACTCAAATACCTCTTTCCTATTTTGACAGCAGAATCTTAGCAAATATAATTATATCAGCAACCATAACTGACAGGTTTTATCACCCTATTGTCTTAATTTTAGACATCAAATGAAAAGACATTCCTACAAATACATTAGTCCACATTTCGTACCTTTGTTTTTAGTTGTCTTTTACAGACAGTGTAGTTATCTTTCCATCTTATGGGTTGTTTTTTTTCCACTTTTCATTTTGTTTTCAACAGAAATATTTTGACTTTTTACCAGATTGACTTACCTTTAAATTCCTCTCCTTTAAAAGCTCTGCTTTTTTCTTAGGAAAAAGGAAATCGTCCTTTAAAAAATTCAGTATGCCAGACTTAAAAGGCAAGAAAGTTTTCCCCTCTTTACATAGTAAACAATCAGGTATGGATCTTAAACATTAACTTAGAGAGGTATGGATATAATATATGGATAATCAAAAAAAAAATTGGATTTTGCTTTCACATGGATTTTTATATTCAATTCTGAATATAAATATGCTTGCTATCTTCCTGTTGAATAAAAGTTGTATTTTTTCCTACACTGAATAAACCTGATTGAGGCACACTCATACTTGTTTACTACCACTCTTATCTATGTCTATGTTTATTCTATATGAATCATAATTTTCTCAAAAATGCACAGTCTCAACTGAGCAGAGCTGCTTTTGTTTACATCTTCTCTGAAGCTTGGGTTGAAGTTATTTCAAAGGGCCTTCTCTAATGAATTGTAAGCTACACACAAAAAAGAAATAAAGGTAACACTTAAATACCAGTTATTCATTCAGATCTCTTAGTAAACAAACTTAAAAATATTTTCACATACCTCTGTAAAACTGTAGCTCAATTTTAGTACCTTTTCAGCTGACTTTTAACTCTGTCAGATTATATAGCTTCAGAATTGAGTGAATCTTTGCATAATCTTTGGTGTTAAGGCTGCTTATTCACTACTTATGTCTGTTTTTCAGTCCTAGTTGTGACATGATGGAACTAAGGCGTCGTTATCAGAATTTATATATACCTAGTGACTTTTTTGATGCTCAGTTTACGTGGGTGGATGCTTTCCCTTTGTCAAGACCATTTCAGCTGGGAAATTACTGCAATTTCTATGTAATGCACAGAGAAGTAGAGTCCTTAGAAAAAAATATGGCCATTCTTGATCCACCAGATGCTGACCACTTATACAGTGCAAAGGTTTGTATTCCATTGTGATATACAGCTAAAATTCCTGAACGTTTATTCCTATTTAGAGTGTATATGGAGTCAATCTTTAGAACGTGGTTATTATGTTTAAGACCAGAATACCCATGTCTTCCTCTTGTTTGTCTAATTCTGTTTTGGTTATTTAAGTAATTTAATTTAATCTTCTTTTGCTTTATCCTCTTAAAATATAGATTTATGGCTAATGTTTTAGCATTTTAATTTCATAAAAATGTGAAGACAAAGTTTATTTTATTGAGCATTTTGGAATGTTCTGTGACCTCCAGTGGTCCCAGATAAAATGTAATGTGAGTGAATGCACTATATGTTGGGTTTTAGGGTAACAGTCAGTATATTTCTCATGATCAGTAGTTTTCTGTTATTTCAAAACATTGATTTAAAGAAAGCATCCCTTGAAAAGATAAAACTATATAATTATAATGTATCTAATACCATTTCTGCTGTAACATTTTACTTTCCATTTTTTTAAAAAATTATTGGTTATCTAATATATGTAAGGATAATTAGTAGTGCTTCTCATTTTTTTACATTACTTTAGACTTTTGACAGGATTGAATTATTTGACTATAATAGGTAATGCTGATGGCTAGCCCTAGTATGGAAGATTTGTATCATAAGTCATGTGCTCTTGCTGAAGACCCACAAGAACTTCGAGATGGATTTCAGCATCCTGCTAGACTTGTAAAGGTAAAATTAAACATTTATTTTAACTTCAGGTATATATTTACTTAGTTCTAACTGTATATAGTAGATGTAATTAAAAATGGCACCCCTTTAGTCTAGTTGAGTAGTAATTTTAGTATTAAAGTACTCAAAATTTAATGATGTAGATGTTTTCTCATTGCAGATTTTACCTGTAATGTCTTATTTGTATATTACTAGTTCAACTTCATTTTGATGTTTTATATTTGCAGCATAGTAAAATCTTAATGGTAATGGATTTTGTGTATCTTTGGATGATGTTAAAGTTTGAATTATAGCTTATTTCTTTAAAAGAACTCTTTATCTGAAGAAATATTTTAGAAGGATGAGTTATGATGTGTAAATCCTATTCCATTGCTGAAATGCAGTGTGGAACACGATGAACTGAACTCTTCCTTGACTGTGACAGATACAAGAGGTAGTAAAAACTGATAATTGGAAAGGTTTGTACCTTTCCTTTTCAAGTACTTTATTTGTAATTTGACATGCTGCATAATATATGTAAATGATTCTTGGTTTTGAATTAGTTTTTAGTGGGCATGAAAGGCAAAGATGAAGCCATGGCCATTGGAGGCCACTGGTCTCCTTCGCTGGATGGACCAAACCCAGAAAAAGACCCTTCTGTGTTGATTAAGACTGCTATTCGTTGTTGTAAGGCTCTGACAGGCATTGATCTAAGTGTATGCACACAATGGTAAGTACCAATTCATTTCTTGATTGGAAATGTTTTTCTAATAGTTTATGTAGATACTCCTGTTGTTCAGTTTCCCCTTGCTCTGCCTTCCCTCTCCAACCCTCCTTATTTTAGCGACCATGATTATGTAAGTAATCTCAAAGGAAAATCCCCATTTGTAGCGAAAGTCTATTGGTGCCAAAGTTGTTTGGGGGGAAAAGGATTAAGAACTAATCAAATAAATTGAATATTTAAATGTTTCATTATGCTGTACTTTGGAAGTTGGATGTATGTTGAAAATACTTTTCATTTCATGCATAGCTGGAGAAGATCGTCAAGAGAGAACTTCATTTCATTATAATTCTTTTGTTGTAATATGATGTAGTTGCTGATTATTTTTGTTCAGCCATATTTTCTCTTGAGGCTTATTTGTCTTGTGTATTTTAGCATATTTCTTGTGACTTAATTGAGAATATTCTTTTTTAGCGCATGAAATCTGAACAGCTATCCAGCTTCTTCAGGTATTCTCTAAAATATGGGTAGCTCTGTAATCGAACTTGAAAATGCCTTGGGAAACTATTCTTCTTTTAACCATAAAATATTGTACAAATGTACCAAAAGAGGAACTATGGCTTCGATAATTTTTTTTTCTTTAGACCAACCTCAAGTTCTTGCAGCAAAATTTCTTTACTTGATGTGCTACAAGTGAACTAGGGTCTTTAAAATGTATTTTAGAATTTTTTTTCCAACATGCTTCTTCCCTTGCAACAGGTACCGTTTTGCAGAGATTCGCTACCATCGCCCTGAGGAGACCCACAAGGGGCGTACAGTTCCAGCTCATGTGGAGACAGTGGTTTTATTTTTCCCGGATGTTTGGCATTGCCTTCCCACCCGCTCAGAGTGGGAAACCCTCTCCCGAGGATACAAGCAGCAGCTGGTCGAGAAGCTTCAGGGTGAACGCAAGGAGGCTGATGGAGAACAGGCACTGAACGCTAATCCCTTTTTCTATTTCCGCTTCTCACAGGCACAGGAACACAGGCACAAATGCACACCACACACTACATAATAAACACACATGGAGGAACATAACTGGTAACAGCGACTGGTAATCCAGCTTTCAGCAGTATAGTTGTATGTCTTTTCTCTTAAAAAATAAACTGTCTTATTATGCTAACTTTAAGAGCGCTGAGACCTCAAAGGAAAATAAGTTGTGCTTAAATTGCACAGAATTTTGTTTTTATCATAGGTCTAGTTGCTGGAATCTGGGACCAGTTGTTGAGCAAGATTCAGTATTAAGCCATTTTAAACATTTTGCCATTTTCTAAAATTTAAAAAAATTTTCTCTTTCACGGTCATCAGTTCTAGTCATGGATATTTGAAATTGGACAACCACAAGTCTGAGAGATTTGAAATTTCAGGCTATGTGGCATCGTCTTTGGTACATTTGAAAGGTCTGACTAAATCAGTCTTAACTTTGGGTGGCTTGAAAATTGGGGCAAGATCACACACTGTGTGGTTAGTGGAGACCGGCAGTGTTTGTGCATCCCTGATATCCTTTGTGTTATAATTTATCACCCTTTTGTGTTTCACAGATCTGGCTTTGATTGGCTGATGAGTGTCTTTGTGATCAGTTAAAAGTGGTAGAATGTATGTACGTGGACTTGCCTAAATAATAACTTTAGGAGAAGACAATCTGAAACATTTGTGACCTTGCACAGATCAGCAACAGACTTTTAAAAATAAATGACTTTTATATTAAAGTTTCAGAATACTAATTATGTTCTTTGTATATCAGGATGAAGAAGAGAAGGATGATGGTGAAGCTAAAGAAATTTCCACTCCTACCCATTGGTCTAAACTTGATCCAAAGACAATGAAGGTAATTTTAAAAGTGGTTGTATTTCATTTGAAACCTCTGATTAGGAATAGTGAGTATGACTTTTCAGATAAAAATCATTAAAAATTATTTTTATATAATTTATATAAATATTATGAATTGTATTTCTTTATCTATAAACACTATGCAAAAGGTAAATTTATAAATCACTTCAGTCTGTTGAATGCATTGTGTGTGAGCCCCACAGTATCCTGCTTTATGAATTAACCAAGAAGGCAGAATTTAAGTAACTTAAAAAAGGGGAAGAAATACAGATAAGATTTTAAAGTAAAAGATACATTGCTATATCTCTGAAATGGGGAAGAAACATAATTTAAGAAGCTCTTGAAAATCTCTGTCTAACCTATACTAATTTATTTTTTCCCCTGAGATCTCTGGACCTATTTTTCTTTCTGCTGTTTTGCTTTTCTGAACTTATCATATGAGTATAGATCTATAAATTCAACATATAGTCTATAGATCAGATTGGGATCTGATGGTTACTCATTTTTACACATAAAGACCAATCTCTTGGTTAACTTTTATTTTTTTTAAGATTCATTTATTTATGCATACAAGAACTGGGGTACATACAGGCCAGAGGTGTAGAGGGTGAGAGAATTCACCAGGGCAGAGTAGGGAACAGAACAGGCAGATTGACTGAAATACACTGCTGAGGGGAGCAGCGGGCGAGTCAGGAGAGGTCTGCTGTGCCATGTGGGTCTTTCCCTGGCTGGGAATCGAACTCGTGCTGCAGAGGCTGTGGATAGCTTCATAGGTTGCGTCTTAACCCGTTGCACCACCAGGGAGACCCTGGTTAACTTCTGTTCTAAGCCAAAGTGTTTCTTTTTTTTGTAGCTAGTTTGTTGTTTTTTTTTAACCTATTGCTTTTTTAATAGGCAAAGAGAGCATAATATATCATAAGACTAGTTATTTCACTATTTTCAAGTTGTCATCATTATCAGGTTTCATATAAGGTACTGCAGATTTCAGAAAATGCAGGTAGTTAGATTAAGCTCGTGGTCCAGGACTTTTCGTCAAACTGATTACTTTGCTATTAAGTTTTGTTTTAAAATTTCTGTTTCTTTTGATTATAAGTATAATGACTACTTATTTTAATTAGGACATTAGAAAATAGGGGGGGAAATTATTCAATCATACCAAACACACTCTTAAAATTTGGGGGCATTTTTTCCCATGATTTTTTTCTGAATATAAGCTTTGTAATTGATGCTTCGTTGTTTCTAATGTTGTATACAGATGTTGCTATCACATCCTTTTCAAGTAATATTAAAGTTTCCCATAGTTATTTTTAAATATTCTGTAGTATCCTATCTAGTAAACATAATGTTTTTTGCTTTATTGGATATTTAGAATTTTCATATTTTGTGGAGGAAGACCTTTTATAAAGAATTTTTTTTTTAAAGATTTATTTATTTATGCATACAAGTACTGGGGTACAGGCCAGAGGTGTGGGAGGTGAGAGGATTCACCAGAGATAGAGTGGGGAACACAACAGGCAGACTGACTGAAATACACTGCTGAGAGGAGCAGTGGGCGAGTCAGGAGAGGTCTGCTGCACCATGTGGGTAGCTCCCTGTCCAGGGATCGAACTCATGCTGCAATGGCTGTGAATAGCTTTATAGGTTGCATCTTAATTCCTTGCGCCACCAGGGAGGCCCAAAGAAAATATATATTTTTTTTTAAAGATTTATTTATGCATACAAGAACCGGGGGGCAGGCCAGAGGTGTGCAGGGTGAAAGGACTGAAATACACTGCTGAGGGGAGCAGCAGGCAAGTAAGGAGAGGTCTGCTGTGCCATGTGGGTAGCTCCCTGGCCAGGAATCGAACTCATGCTTCAGTGGCTTTGGATGGCTTCGTAGATTGCGTCTTAACCTTTTGTGCTACCAGGGAGGCCCAAGAATGTATAATTTTTTTCTGTTTAAGATAATTGTTAATAAATTCCTAAATTTTTAGTAATTCCCAGAAATTAGAATTACTGGGTCACAGAACATAAACTCTTTTAAAGGCATCTTAAAATAGGTTGCAGTTTATTTCCAAAATAATTTGGATTTTCACAAACATTTTGTGAGCTGTATAAGTGTCCCTTTATAAAAAAATTGGACAAAAAGTAATTGCACCATTTGTTCACTACTTAAGTACTCTTTTTTTCTTTTTCTGTGTTGTATTCTGTGTACTTAGGTAAATGATCTCCGAAAAGAATTAGAAAGTCGAGCTCTTAGTTCTAAAGGATTAAAATCCCAGTTAATAGCCCGATTGACAAAACAGCTTAAAGTAGAAGAACAAAAAGAAGAACAAAAGGAGCTAGAGAAATCTGAAAAAGAGGAAGAGGAGGAGGATGATAGAAAATCTGAAGATGACAAAGAGGTATGTAGTAAATCATTTAAATATATTGTACTAACATTACATATAATATTGGCTTATGGTGCCCTCTTGGAAAACATGTTTGTATACTTTTGCTAAGGTATAATTTACATAAAATTAAGAATACATACTTTTTAGTCAAAAGTTTATGCATGTTTTGCAATTTGCATGTAGTCATGTAACCACCAGAGTCAAAATATGAAACAGGTCTATCAACCCCTAAAATTCCCCATGTTCCTCTGTAAGCATTTTCTTTTGCCTTAACCTTTGAGAGCCACTGATCCATTTTTCTGTAATTTTGCTTTTTCTAGTATATCATGTACATAGACGCACACAAATTTTTGAGCCTGTCCTCTCTTAACAGTGCATTAGAGGTTCCTTCATTTTGTTGTATCAGTAATTAGTTCCCTCTTATTGCTTAGTAGTATTCTCTAGTGTCAGTATATCATAGTTCATTAATTCTCCACTTGAAAGACTTTGGAGTTATTTCCAATTTGTATATTTTTGATCTTCCCTCCCTCTTAAAAATGAATAATAGGGCTCCCTGGTGGCGCAGCGGTTGAGCGCTGGGTTGCGAAGCTGCCCGCGGCCTCTGCGGCGCCGGTTCGATCCCCGGCTGCTCCCCGGCCACCGGAGGAGGGTCCCACATGGCGCGCAGACCTCTCCTGCCGCCCACTGCTCCCCTCAGCAGTGTACTTCGGTCCTTCTGCCTGCTCTGCCCCCCGCTCTGGCTCTGGTGAATTCTCTCACCCTCCCGTGCTTCTGACTGTACCCAGTGCATGTATAAACAAAACAAATAAACAAATAAATAAATAAAAAAAATTTTAAAAAAAAAAATGAATAATAAATTATTTCATATGGTTAAGATGCAGAAAATAAGAAAATCTGGTTGATAGCCTTTAAGTTTAGAGAATGAAATCTAACGAAGTGCTTATCACAATTTTGCTACCTCTAAAAAGAAGTGTTAGATTGCATTTTAATCCTTGATTCAGAGATTATTTATTTGAGCTGTTTTATGCTTCACTCTTCTGCCCAGTACAATAACTCCTGGATGCATAAACTTTCCATTTGTTTTCTAAATTTGAAAGGCAAGGATATTGGAATCATGTTAAAAGACCAGTAATTGTACAAAACAACATTATGCGTTTTCTAATTTGATGTAGTCTGAGGTATACCTCATAATGTATGAAGTATTCCTGCCAAAAATGATTTACCTTAATGTCATTGTGAGACAACAGATAAATTTAGAGTATGAAAAATTCTACAGTGCAACTTGTCTGAACATTTTTAAAATGTCCATGTTATAAAAGATGAAGAAAAATGGTGGTTCAGTGAGATATGACAACTGCTGAATCAAACTTAGAGTCACTTTGGTGTAATTGGAGAAATCTAGTTAAGGGTATACAGTTGACATTAGATAGTGAAGCCATGTTAGCCTTTGATGTGATAATGGTTTATGAAAATGGCTTGTTCTTAAGTGATGTATAGACTCATGATTTCTTATTTTATAATGTTATAAGTATTTATTTTGATAATGAAATTGTCTCTGAATAGGCCAGTGGGAGCCCTATGTTGATTTCTCTGATATTTTGACTTGTCCTTGACATGTTTTGAGGACTTCCTTATTTTCTAATACAATATAATACCTCATTCTCATTTTATTATCTCTGCCTTAACTCTCACCCTGGTGGGGATGTAAGTTAGTACAACTTCTATAGAAAACTGTAGGGTGATGTCTTAAAAAATAACAGTGCAAATAACATATGATCCAGCAATACTGTTGTTAAGTATCCAAAGAATATGAAAACTCAAATACCAAAATATTTATGCACCCCTGTGTTCATAGCAGCATTGTCCACAGTAGCCAAGCCATGTAACCAACCTAAGTGCCCAGCAACAGGTGACTGGATAAGGAAACTATGGAATATATACTCAATAGAATAGTACTCACCTGTTTAAAAAGGTGAAGTAGTACCTTTTGGGACAAAATAGGTGGATCTTGAAGTAAGTCAGAAATTGAAAGACAGATACTAATAAGTTGGATTCACCTATTTGTGGAGTATAAGTAACCGGAGAATACATGGGAAAAGCACAGCAAAAATACTTATTAGACTTTTGAAAAATAAACTAGTTACAAGAACTTCATTTTTTCAAAGACTGAACACTACTCCATTTTATTTATACACTGCATTTTATTTATACATTTATTGATGGACATTTGGTTTGTTTTCACTTTGTGACTACGGTGAAAAATACTTCTGTGAAAAAGCAAGTTTTCTTAGTGTTTTTAATTTGTTCTGTCCATCTGATAATTCTGTTCCTCTGGTTTTGTTTTGTTTAAGGAAACTGTTGTTATATATTGAACTTTTTTTTGTTTTCTCTATCTTGGTCACTTTTACACTTGATCTTAGCCAAAAAGCTGAGAAGCTATATCTTGGTCACTTTTTCTTGAATCTATCATTTTTATTTTTAAATTTTCCTTATCATTTCCTTATCAGTTCTTTTAAGATGTTATCTCTTGTATTTATTTGCTGTTTTCTTTCTAGTTTATTCTTAAAATTTCTGGAGCTATTTTTTTCTCCTTGCCTTCTAAATTCAATCACATCATTTGTCCCTTTAAAATTCTTATTTATGTCGTTCTTTTGTATCTTAAAATATTTTCTTGATGTCTTTTAGCACACTTTAAAATAGGAAGTTAAAATTTTTTATCTGTCTTGTTGCCATGTCTTTCTGGCCCAGTTTCACTGTCTACAGGGATGCAATGCTGCTGTCTCTTGTTCTTTTTCTAAAATAGTAGCTTGTATGGGATTTGACCTCAATATATTTCTATTGTTCATTTTTATGTGAATTTAGTTTGCATAAATTTTTATTAAGAGAGAGCTTCATAAAACTTTTTCTAACTTTACAGTGCTTTGTGTTCTGATATTTTCTTGTTCTATCAAAAAAAAAAAGGTGGCTTAATTTTCTCTATCTTCTATCCTCTATCATTTTTTTTAAAGATTTATTTATATATACAAGCACTGGGTACAGTGAGAAGCACTGGAGGGTGAGAGAATTCACCAGAGCCAGAGAGGGGAGCAGAACAGGCAGACTGACGAATTACACTGCTGAGGGGAGCAGCGGGCAGCATGAGAGATCTGCACGCCATGTGGGACCCTCACCAGCGGTCGGGGATGGAACCGGCGCTGCAGAGGCTGCGGGCAGCTTCGCAGCCCGGCGCTCAACTGCTGCGCCACCGGGGAGGCCCTATCCTTTATCATTTTTTATCTGGACTTTTCTGATGTTTCTGTTGACTCTGTTCACTGTTGATTCTATGCCCACATGTGTCTTCTCACTGCGGGACCCTGTGCTCTGCAGGAGGCCTTGGTTAATCAGCTCTGCCAAGTTCATAGAGCTAGAACGTTCTAGGCTCTTTCAGATCTTTACTTGGATCCCTTGTACTCTCACTGTTTTTAGGTATAAAACTGTACCTAGTTTCAGCATCTATTCTTAAAGTGACTCAGTGAACACCTATTGGCTGTTTTCAGTTTTCCTATTCTAAGATCAATCAAATAACCCCATTGCTTCCTTCTCCTTTTCCCCATAGGTGCCAATAACACATGAATCTTTTTTGGTTTTTGTTACTTTTTCTCATCTACTTGAGATGGGATTTTGGGGATACCTTGTTGCTTCATTTTGTTCAGAATGTATATGGAGTTTGGTTTTTGGTGTTTAGATTGTTCTCTCTTTTTAGTGTGGACATTTAGAAAAATGCAAAAAACTATGCTGCCACTTTTCCCCTGAATTCTCTGTGATGTTAATAGAAAATTAATTTCCCTATAATATCAATATAGGTGCTTTTCCTCCTTCTTTAAAAGGCTTTTTTAAAAAAAATTTTTTCTTCACTAAGATAACAGAAGGGACGATTTATTGTACACATATTACATTCAGCCAACTGAGAACAGGACTAGTCCAGAATGTCACAGATCCAGGGCAAAGGACCAAAAGGGACTGGTTTTGATAGGAGCAAGGTGGTTGCAGCCATCAGATGGTGATGGGATATTCTAGATACACTTAGACAGAGTTCTAGACAGTAGCATACAGTCCAACAATTTGTACCAACATCCCTGACATCTGGCTTTCCTTATTTCTGCTTTTGTGCCTTGCGTGCGTGTTATTAGTTTAGTTGGACCTTTGCCTCATTTTTTTTCTTTTGCACTTCTGCTTACACATTTGCTTTTCCCTCCATTTGGATCTCATGGCATAGAAGCTTCAAGGAAGATGGCTCTAAGGCTGAGAGAGAAGGCTCTTTATTATGCTGGGAAATCCTAAAAGCTACTGTTTTATTTGTTAAAATTGAGTTTTGCTTTTTTCAGCCTTTATGATTGGTCATGACCATAAGAAATTATGTACTTTTGATACATGCATATTGTACAGGGAAGTTTAACCATTACCTTAAAATTTCAAATATATGTAGGAAGAAGAAAGAAAACGTCAAGAGGAAATGGAACGCCAGCGTCGGGAAAGAAGATATATTTTGCCTGATGAACCAGCCATCATTGTACATCCAAATTGGGCTGCAAAAAGTGGCAAGTTTGATTGCAGTATCATGTCTTTAAGTGTGCTTTTGGACTACAGATTAGAGGATAATAAAGAACATTCATTTGAGGTAATATTTTCAGTTTGAATTGTGATCATAATTTTCCATATTTGGATTGGCCAATATATCTCTGGCCTGCACCCCAGCTCTTGTATGCGTAAATAAATCTTTATTTTTTGAATTTTTTTTAGAGGTTTATTTATACAACAGCTGGTACAGGCCAGAGATGTGGGAGGGTGAGAAGATTCACCAGAGACAGAGTGGGGAGCAGAACAGGCAGACGGGCCGAAAACACTGCTGAGGGGAGCAGCATGCAAGACAGGAGAGGTCTGCCATGCCATGTGGGTATTCCCCTGGCCAGCTGGGAATCGAACCCACGCTGCAGATGCTGCGGACAGCTTCACAGTGCTGCGCTCAACCCACTGCACCACCAGGGAGGCCCCAATAAATAAATCTTTTAAAAAAAAAATGGAGATAGTGGAGTTTTCAGCATCTTAGTAGTCGTTTTACTGGTAATCCTTTTTTTTTTTTAAGATTTATTTATTTTTATACAAGAACTGTGGTACAGGCCAGAGGCATGGGAGGGTGAGAGTATTCACCAGAGACAGAGCGGGGAGCAGCACAAGCAGACGGACTGAAAGCACTGCTGAGGGGAACAGCGGATAAGACAGGAGAGGTCTGTCACGCCATGTGGGAATCTCCCCGCCCAGCTGGGAATCAAACCCATGCTGCAGAGGCTGCGGACAGCTCCACAGCGCAGCGCTCAACCCGCTGCGCCACTGGGGAGGCCCCAATACTTTATTTTAAAAAGATTTATTTATTTACACATACAAGAAATGGGGTGTAGGCCAGAGTTGTGGGGGGGGGTAAGAGGATTCACCAGAGACAGAGTGGGGAGCAGAATAGGTGGATGTAATGAAACACACTGCCGAGGGGAGCAGCAGGTGGGAGAGATAGGAGGGGTCTGCTGTGCCATGTAGGTTAGCTTCTGGCCAGGGATCAAACGCATGCTGCGGTGGCTGGCAATAGCTTGATAGCACTGTGTCTTTAACCCACCAGGGTTTAAGTGCCACCATGAGGCCCTGGTAATAGATTTTTGATATATAAAAGATGTGCATGAATTAAAGATTATAATCAGTTATAATTTTGATACATCGTATTAAATTTTTGTGGTCAGGGAAATATTCTGCATTCTTTTTTTTTTTTTTTTTTTTTTTAATAGAGGCATGTTTATTTATTTATTTGTTTGTTTGTTTGTTTTTGTTTACACATGCACTGGGTACAGCCAGAAGCACGGGAGGGTGAGAGAATTCACCAGAGCCAGAGCAGGGAGCAGAGCAGGCAGAAGGACCGAAGTACACTGCTGAGGGGAGCAGCGGGCGGCAGGAGAGGTCTGCGCGCCATGTGGGACCCTCCTCTGGTGGCCGGGGAGCAGACGGGGATCGAACCAGTGCCGTAGAGGCCGCGGGCAGGTTCGCAACCCAGCGCTCAACCGCTGCGCCACCGGGGAGGCCCCAGGGAAATATTCTGATTAAAATGTTTTATCCAAATGCATTGTTTTATCAAATACACTTTTTTAAATCAAATTTACTTTTTTTTTAAAGATTTATTTATTTATGAGTACAAGAGCTGGAGTACGGGCCAGAGTTGCAGGGGAGGTGAGAGGATTCACGAGAGACAGAGTGGGGGACAGAACAGGCAGATTGACTGAAATACACTGCTGAGGGTAGCGGCAGGCAAGTCAGGAGAGGTCTGCTGCACCATGTGGGTAACCACTTCCTTGCCGGGGATCGAACTCATGCTGCAGTGGCTGTAGATAGCTTCATAGGTTGCATCTTAACCCCTTGCACCACCAGGGAGGCCCCCTAGAATATGGTTTTTTAAGTAATTGACCAGAAGCATATTAAGCATAGTATTTATAGCTTCAGGACAGTTTTTGACTCCCCTCACTGTCACTCACGTAAGGTATTATAACTACTGTTACTGCACATTAATTGTTAGATATGGCAAGTTATTTGATAAGTTATTGACTGCTGGATTTGTCAATATTGCTATTAAAATTATTGTTGGCATTTTTTTATAGGTTTCATTGTTTGCAGAACTTTTCAATGAAATGCTTCAAAGAGATTTTGGTGTCAGAATATACAAATCATTATTATCTCTTCCTGAGAAAGAGGACAAAAAAGAGAAGGAAAAGAAAAGCAAAAAAGATGAGAGAAAAGATAAAAAAGAAGAGAGAGATGATGAAACTGATGAGCCAAAACCCAAGCGGAGAAAATCAGGCGATGATAAAGATAAAAAGGAAGATAGAGATGAAAGAAAGGTCTGTAATTATTTCTATGACCAGTAGACTGATTTCAAGGTTTTCAAAAACAGTCTTCTAGGTTGTAATAAATGATGAAGCTTTCCATCAGAATAGTGAAACAGAAAGACCAAATTGAAAGATTTTAGTGTATTATTAGGAATTTAGATCTTTGAATTAAGCCTATGTAAACATCTACAATGAGTTTTCTGGTAGTTAATTCTTAAAGTGTATTATTGTTCTGAAAAACTTATAATGTAAAACTACTTCAAGTGAATTTAATGAAATTAATATTTGGTGAGATGTCTTGCTTAATTTTAAGGCATTTTGAATTACAGAAAGAGGATAAAAGAAAAGATGATTCTAAAGATGATGATGAAACTGAAGAAGATAATAATCAAGATGAATATGATCCAATGGAAGCAGAAGAAGCAGAGGATGAAGAAGATGGTATGATTCAAATTCATTCTCCTTAGAATGAGAAAAATACATTTTTGCCAAGTAACTTTGTATCAGTTAAACCTTTTTTTTTTAATTTTTTACAAAAATTTTTTAAACATTTATTTATTTTTATACAAGAATTGGGGTATAGGCCAGAGATGTGTAGGGTGAGAGGATTCACCAGAGACAGAGTGGAGAACAGAACAGGCAGACGGACCAAAGTACACTGCTGAAGAGAGAAGCGGGCGAGACTGGAGAGGTCTGTCCCGCCATGTGGGTTTCTCCCTGGCCGGCCGGGAATCGAACCCGTGCTGCAGTGGCTGCGAATTGCTTCGTAGTTTGTGTCTTACCCCTGCGCCACCAGGGAGGCCCTCAGTTAAACCTGTTTTGATGATTTTTATTTTATTTTATTTAGAATAGAAACGGTAAAATCTTACTTTAAGTGAGAAGATTGTTTTAAGATGTTTATTTTTCATTATATATTTCCCATACATAAATAATACTTTTTCAGCATGAGCAAAGTATTTCTCTGAACTTGATGCTTAAACTGTGTTTTGAAAAGCTGTAGTAATCCCCATTGTTTAATAGAATATATTCCTCATTAGAAAATTAATTTTAGGGCCTCCCCAGTGGCGCAGCGGTTGAGCGCTGGGTTGCGAAGCTGCCTGCAGCCTCTGCAGCGCCGGTTTGATCCCCGGCTGCTCCCTGGCCACCGGAGGAGAGTCCCGCATGGCACGCAGACCTCTCCTGCTGCCCGCTGCTCCCCTCAGCAGTGTATTTCGGTCCTTCTGCCTGCTCTGCTCCCAGCTCTGACTCTGGTGAATTCTCTCACCCTCCCGTACTTCTGACTGTCCCCAGTACTTGTATAAACAAACAAATAAATAAATAAATCTTTTAAAAAAAAAAAGAATTTATAAAATAAAATAAAATAAATTAATTTTAGCACTTCATTTTTTCCTTTTAGCACTTTTTAATGAAGATTATTACCATGTAAAAGTGTACATAGAATATACAGGTAGAGTTTAAAGACCAATAATAGTAAACACCTGTTTTACCTATCACCCTAAGAACAAACTTTTACCAATAGGAATGATACTCAAAATATTTTATAATTGATGTCCTTGACTAGTCATAACATACCTGTAAAGTACCACTATGTATCTGTCAATCTTATTGTGTGCTTGTAACTTTTTTAAAAAATATTTTTCTGGGATGAGAAAATCATAAGAGTTTATTTACTTACGGTATTTATGGTTTGCCTGTATATTTTCTATCTTATACCATAGTATTTTTTCCCACATCAATGAAAATACTCAAACATAAAGGGAAGCTGAGAGACTGATGCAGTGAATATTCTCTGTGGATCTATTTTGATTTAATAATTCTTATTTTATTTTGTGGTATCCATGTGTGTCTTTGTATTTCTGAAAGTAGAATTCTCCAGCTTGCTTAGGAAAAGATATATTTTAAATAATCATAATTTTGTAATCACACCCAAGAAAACTAATCATGTCATCATCTATTAATGACGGTCTTAATTGTCTAGTAAACTGAATAGCAATGATATACATATATTGATATTTCTTCATTTATCTTCATTATTTGTTTATCCAGTAAACATTAGCCTTTTTGTTTTTTGGGTTTTTTAAAAAAGATTTGTTTATGCATACAAGAGCTGGGGTACAGGCCAGAGGCACGGAGGAGTGAGAGGATTCACCAGAGACAGAGTGGGGAACAGAACAAGCAGATTGACCAAAGTATACTGCAGCAGGCCGAGGAATAGGAGAGGTCTGCTTTGCTATGTGGGTTTCTCCCTGGCCGGCTTCATAGGTTGCGTCTTAACCCTTGCGCCACCAGGGAGGCCCCAAACATTAGCCTTTTTGAAGAGTCCCATATTTTCTCCACCACCCTCATATTCTTTTATCACTACATTAGTTAAATCACTAAACAGTGTTCTCATTATTTTATCTAAGAATATCATACTATTTCCTATCCCTTAGTTGTCTTCTTTATCCTTTTCCACATATAACTCCCTTGGTGGTGTTATCATCCATTCTGTCTTTTTTTTAAAGAAGGAGGGAGCTTTATTTTTTATTTATTTATTTTTAAAGATTTATTTATTTATTTATTTATGCAAGCACTGGGTACAGTCAGAAACGTGGGAGGGTGAGAGAATTCACCGGAGCCAGAGCGGGGAGCAGAGTAGGCAGAGGGACCGAAGTACACTGCTGAGGGGAGCAGCGGGCAGCAGGAGAGGTCTTCGCACCATGCGGTACCCTCCTCCAGTGGCTGGGGAGCAGCCGGGGATCGAACAGGCGCTGCAGAGGCTGCAGGCAGCTTCGCAACCCAGCACTCAACTGCTGCGCCACCGGGGAGGCCCCCATTCTGTCTTTCAATACAGTTTTTAAATTTGTGCATCAAATCAGACCTCCCTCCCACTTTCTCCTGTCAGCTGTCTACTTGACACCTCCACTTAAGTTATGTGACATTTCAAAATAAACGTATCTAAAACTGAACAACTGCCTTCCTCCTCCACCAAAAAGAAAATGAACAGAATACCCCACACTTAACTTTCCCAGTCTCATTTGATGCAACTTCATCCTTCTATTTGCTCAAGCTAAAATCTAGAGGTCATCCTTTTTCCAATTTGTCAGGAAGTTATATTGGCTCTATCTTTAAAACATAACCACAATCAGACCATTTCTCCCAGCTCATCTAATCCTAATCTGTGCTGTTTCACTCTTGACTACAATATTTTAATAGCCTTATAACTGGTTTCCTTTCTCAACTCCTTCTCTGAAGTGTCTTTTCAACACCATTGCCAGAATAACCTTTATAAAATTTAAGTCATTTTATTTTTTCAAATTCTTCCAGTTCTCCATTTCATGATATAAAAAAAGCCAGTGTTTACAATGACCTGTTAAAATCATACCACATTAAGTTTCTCAATTTCATCTCTTACCTCATTTTTTCACTTGCTCATTATTCCCCAGGCACCTGTCCTCTGTAAATTCATTACGTATTATCTTATGTTAGAACCGTTTTTGCACTGGCAGTTCCTTTGACTGCATGCTCTTTTCTGAAGATCCACCCTCTTTACTCCATCAGCCTCTGTTCAACTGTAATTATTCCAGTGAGGCCTACCTTGCACACTACCCTTTTTAATACTACATTCCTCTCATACATATTCCTGATTGCTCTATATCCTGCTCTGCTTTGAGAATTTATAACCTATTTCAGTGTACAGTTCGCTTCTTTTACTTATTGTTGATCTTCCTCCCTCTTAACCCTTTGCACTCCGAACCATTCTGGACATTGGCTACCAATGTCCCCTGAGAGGGGACAGCGGAGTGCAAAGGGTTAAATACAAGCGCAATAAGAAAAAGAAGGGCTTTTTTTTTTTCCCCCAATCAGTGTTGCGTACATATTGCAGGTTCCTGGAACAGTCTAAATATGCATGTGGGCTCTGAATATTGATTTGTTCAACATATGTAAACTTCATAGAGTGGGTTATAGTCCTTTTTGGTTTCCCTGATATTTCCAGTTGTGCTTGTTTAGGTTATCTTAGCTGCTTTTTTTCCCCCATAAATTTTATCTTGTTATCATCTCAGGTTTTTACAAGTCCACACTTTTTTCAATGGAAAATATAATTGGTAGTTTTAAATATGCCAATTAATGTCTGAAAGGCTATTGGATCTTTTAAGTAATCATAAGAGTAAATGAGTAATTTTTTTACTTATTAAATTTATAAAAATTAAGTTTCTAATAAAAGGCAAAATCAGTTGAACAAGGTTTAAGGGTAAAGAGAAAAGTAACTTTGATTTTTTTTTTTTTTAACTTTCATCTTTCTTGGGGTCAGTTTAAATTGTTGCACCTTTTCTGGACAGAAATTTGGAAATATAAATTAGGTATAACTTTTTTTTTTTAAGATTTATTTTGCTTATTTATGCATACAAGAGCTGGTGTGTAGGCCAGAGGTGTGGGGTGTGTGAGAAGATTCACCAGAGACTGTGAGGAGCAGAAAAGGTGGATCTACTGAAATACACTGCTCAGGGGAGCAGGGGGCGAAACAGGAGAGGTTTGCTGCACCTTGTGGATTTGCTCCCTGGCTTGTGATGTATCTCATGCTGCAGTGGCTAGCGATAGCTTGATAGTGCTGACACTTTAACTCCTGCTCCACCATGGAGGCCCTATGTATTATTTTTCAAGGCCAGCTTATTACCTAAAGCAGTCTTTCCCATTTTTCTGAGGTATTAACAGGTATTAAGCTTAATAAAGTATACTGGGGCCAATTTGGGGAACCTTACTAAAACAAAGATATTTTATTACAGAATTTCTTAGCTGTTTATGTAGTGAATGTCCAGGAAGGGAATGTAACTTGAAATAGTTCTGAAATAATATAGTCTAGTTTTTCAGTGACTGTTTAACTCCTAATGTCTTGTAACTTACTTTACTAACAAACCATTTGTTACTCTTGACTTCTGATGGGAATCCATTTGTGAGAATTAGGAAACTGATAAAACTAAAATTTGTCTTTAAAATTATTAACAGATCATTAAAAAAAAAAAAGACTTAAAAGCATGAAAGAACAGGGCCTCCCTGCTAGTACAAGGGGTTGAGTCTCAGCGCTATGAAGCTATTTCCAGTCATTGCAGCACGAGTTCAATTCACTGGCCAGGGAGGTGACCCACATGGCACAGCAGACCTCTCCTGTCTTGCCTGCTGCTCCCTTCAGCAGTGTATTTCAGTAGATCTGCCTGTTCTAGTCCCCACTCTATCTCTGGTGAATCCTCTCACCCAGCCTTCTCTGCCCCTGCACCTCTGACCTACACCCCAGCTCTTGTATGCATAAATAAATAAATCTTTAAAGAAAAAGGGCACATGAAAGAGCGGTGTGTTAGTTCACTAGGGCAACTATAGAAAGCATCTCAGATAGGGTGGCTTAAACAATAGAAATTTAATGTCTAACAGTTCAAGAGCTAAAAGTCTATGATTAAGGAGTCGGGAGTATTAGTTCCTTAAGAGGCCTGAGAAGAAAGGATTATATCCCAGGCATGGCTTATACATAGCCATCTCTCCCTTCACCTTTATTTCATTTTCTATCTGAGAATCTGTGTTCAAATTTCACCTTTCAACACAGACACTGGTCATTGGATTAGAGCTCACTCTATTGAGTGAATTATAACCTAATTACCTCCTTTATACTGTTGTTTTCCAAAAAAGATTTTTTTTCTAAGGTGTACTGAAGATTAGGATTTAAGCATAGGCCTCCTTGGTGGCACAGATGGTTGAGCGCCACGCTGTCAGGCTGTCCGCAGCCTCTGTAGCACGGGTTCAATCCCAGCTGGCCGGTGAGAATCCCACATGGTGCAGCAGACCTCTCCTATCTCACCCGCTGCTCCCCTCAGCAGTGTATTTCGTCAGTCTGCCTGTTCTGTTCTCCGCTCTGTCTCTGGTGACTCCTGTCACCCTCCCGCACATCTGGCCTGTACCCCAGTTCTTGTGTAAATAAATTAATCTTTTAAAAAAAAAGGATTTAAGCATATGAATTTTAGTGGATATATTTTAACCCCTAGCAGATTAATTCTTAGTATACTTTAACAAGATAATAATGGTCTTTGACCTGAGGGTGATGTGTGAGGTCTTAAAGAAATGTACAGTCTCAGGATAGACAAGGCAAAGTTTACTTTTTACTCTTTATATATTTTGAGTTTTTCATAAGGTGCATTATGTTTCAAATACACAATACCACAAAAGATTCAATCTTGAAAATAAAATTAACATCCTGACATATAAATTATGTAAGTATTTTAATTATTTGACTTGTAAAGTTTTTGAGTTATCTTCAACAGTTACAGTTTTATCTTTATACCAGCTTTTGTTTTTTTTTCAGGAATAATTTTTCCAAGTTCCCATCTTTTTAATCATGGGCATACATTTTAGTTTTGACAAGTCTGGAAATATATTGGTTTGTTGAAAAAGTCATGATATATTTTTTCTTTGAAAAACATAGGAAAAATTATGTGTCATGACTTTCCTGACAATCCAATAGTACTGTTGTATCTTCTTAATTATCTTTTTTTAAGATTTATTTTGTTTATGAATACAAGAGCTCTGTTTATGCATACAAGAGCTCTAGGCCAGAGGTGGCGGGGGTGGGGGGGAGATAATTCACCAGAGACAGAGTGAGGAGCAGAACACACAGATTGACTGAAATATGCTCTTGAGGGGAACAGCGGGCAAGACAGGAGAGGTCTGCTGAGGGTCTGACAGGAGAGGGTCGGTCAGCTCCCTGGCCGGCCCGGATTGAACTTGTGCTGCAATGACTGCGGATAGCTTCATAGTGCTTCGACTTAACCCCTTGTGCCACCAGGGAGGCCCTTCTTAATTATCTTAAATTAAAAGCATTTCAGTTTCCCAAATAGAGTTTTGTTAATTATCTATGATTAGTTTTACTATGTTAGTTTTTTTTTTCCATTTAGGTTTTAGAAAATATACTGTTTTTAATTAAAATATACTTGTTTTAATTTTCAATTTTATGTACAACATTCATTCTTATTTTTTGAACTGTTCTCCACGTATTTATAGTATACTTTTTAATTCAATAAATCAGTTACTTTCCTTTGTCTAGTTTCTTTATGAATTCTTCATCTTCTTATTCTTTATAATTATACTTATAACATCCAAACTATTTTTATTCATATAATATTTCTTTGCTATTATGTCTTTTGAAAACTGATCATTATTAGAAAAGTATTTTTGGTCTCTGTAATAGCTGAAAATATCTTTATTAATGAGGGTTTTTGTTTTTTTTTTTTTGCTGCTGTTGTATTTATCTTATAGATCGGGATGAGGAAGAAATAAACAAAAGAGATGACAAAAGAGATATCAACAGATACTGCAAGGAGAGGCCCTCTAAAGATAAGGTACTTGCTGAATTCTGTATTTTCATAATGTGTTCATTTTTATATCTTTTATATATATATATATATATATATATTTTTTTTTTTTTTTTTTTTTTGTGGGACCCTCCCCGTCGGCCAGGGAATGAACCAGCGCTGCAGAGGCTGCAGGCAGCCTCGCAGCCCAGCACTCAACCGCTGAGCCACCAGGGGAGGCCCTTTTATATCTTATATTATCCAAACTTACAATTTTCAACAGCACAGTCATGAAATATTTTACCCCTAGTATATTTACCTATTACCTTTAAGAACAAATCTCAGGTGTTTGGTTTTTTTTTTGGTATTTGTGATTATGTCACATAAAACCAATATGTCTTATTCCTTTCTCCCATACATGTAAACCCTACCAATTCATTTTAGCTGAAATGAGGCAGAAGCCTTTTCATATTTTTGCTCTTTTTTTTTAAAAAAAAGATTTATTTATTTATGCATACAAGAGCTGGGGTTTAGGCCAAAGGTGTGGGGAGCGGGGTGAGAGGATTCACCAGAGACAGAGTGGGGAACAGAACAGGCAGACTGACTGAAATACACTGCTGAGGGGAGCAGCGGGCGAGTCAGGAGAGGTCTGCTGCGCCATGTGGGCAACTGCTCCCTGGCCGGCCGGGGATCGAAGTCATGCTGCAGTGGCTGCAGACAGCTTCATAGGTTGTGTCTTAACCCCTTGCCCCACCAGGGAGGCCCTCATATTTTTGCTCTTATAGAGTCTCAGTTTCAGGGGTAAGAATTATATATTTTATCTTCAGCTTCCATTGCATTTTCTTCAGGAAAAAGAAAAGACTCAGATGATCACAATTAACAGAGATCTGTTAATGGCATTTGTTTATTTTGATCAAAGCCATTGTGGTTACCTTCTTGAAAAGGATTTGGAAGAAATACTTTATACTCTTGGACTACATCTTTCTCGGGCTCAGGTAATTTTCTTGTGAATATTTCAAATGATAGGAGTGGGGAACAAACGGGGGTACAGTGGCCTAGTGGATTATGGATGCTTTGGTGGTGGGTGTTGTGTGGTAACATACATCTAAAGAGTTGTGAACCTTTGCCCCTCACTGATGTTACGGTTTTATAAGCCAACATTACCTAATAAAAACAATATAATTTTTTAAAATAAAGCGAAAGGCATTTTAGTCATTCTTCAAAGTTATCCTTTAGGTAACAGAATAATGTATTTAATTATATAGATTTGTACTTAATTTACTTTTTATCAATTAACTTTTTGAAGTATAAAAGAAAAAGGTGCTAATAGTAATAATGTAGTCAGACAGTAATGAAATGTATAGAGCAAAAAATGTTAGATTCCTTCTCCCTCTGTTTCTACTCCTCTGACCTAATATATAACATTTCAGATCTTTTTGTAAACAACTCATGTGTGTGTCCCATTATTTAAATAATACAACAGATACACATATTGATTGACAGCTTTTTTCTTTCAACAATATAGCATAGACATCCGCCATGAAAATAGAAACCTATTTCATTCTTTTTATTATTGTATAGTATTCTGTGGTGTAGGCATACTATAATTATCTTACCTAGTCCCAGTTGCTGGATGGTTTCCTTTTTTGAACTTATGCTACAATTAACATCTTAGTATATAAACTTTAATGTATGTGTTAGTATTCCTCTGTCGTAGACTTCTTATTTAAGACTTTTATGTCTTAAACTTTTTTCAAATGGTAATTTGGGTTTTAGGCTTATTCAGAAGAGAGTTAAGAGTGTAAGTACTCGAATTGGGTGAAAGTGGATACTTGAGAAAAGAGATGCCATTGAAGTTTATCATGTGAAAATTAGAATACAGTTGTTAAAGGGGAATCAAAAACTTATTTTCATCTTTTTAATTTGTTCCTTGCTTGCATAACAGGTAAAGAAACTTCTTAATAAAGTAGTACTCCGTGAATCTTGCTTCTACCGGAAATTAACAGACACCTCAAAAGATGAAGAAAACCATGAAGAGTCTGAAGCATTGCAGGAAGATATGCTAGGTTTGAATGTATTATTTAAGATTGTGCTCTTTTACAACTATGTTATTTGTTAAAGAAGAAAAAAAAATAACTAAAATATGGGGTCTTTTGTAGGAAACAGGTTGTTGCTTCCAACACCAACAGTAAAGGAATTAAAGGATGTAGAAGAGAATGTTGGCCTTATTGTGTACAATGGTGCAATGGTAGATGTAGGAAGCCTCTTGCAAAAATTGGAAAAGAGTGAAAAAGTGAGGGCTGAAGTAGAACAGAAACTACAGTTACTCGAAGAAAAAACAGGTGAGGAATGTCACTGGATAAGACCATACTTTCGTCACACACATATGTATGTGTTCACACACATATGCATGCTTAATGCACACTTGTGTATCCAAGCCTTGTGTTTTAGTCTACACAAATAATAGAACTTTTGACCTTTCTGTTAAATATTATAAATTTCTTTAGCATTATAAGAATCTTAGATCTTCATGTGCATTCTGAAATTTATTTGTTCTGTGGTATCCTTTTAGTCTTCCCCTAGTTCCACTTAGTTTTCACTGGTTTATGCTACTTTCTTTAGTCTGCAGTCATCTCAAAATGTAACTAGGTTTTAGAAGTATTATTTAGGTACAAATTTAAATGAAATGAGTATTAATGAGTATTGGAGTATGCTTTTATAGCTATAGAAATTGACATTTGTGGCCATTTTAAGGAATTATATCAGCAGGGATTTTTTAGATTAAGTATTAACTTGAAAAGTTAAACTGGAAATTTTGAGGGTGTAAAATGATGACTTTTGAGTTTTATTTTAACAGATGAAGATGAAAAAACCATATTAAATTTGGAGAATTCCAACAAAAACCTCTCTGGTGAACTCAGAGAAGTTAAAAAGGACCTTAGTCAGTTGCAAGAAAACTTAAAAGTTTCGGAAAACATGAATTTGCAATTTGAAAACCAGTTGAATAAGACAATCAGAAACTTATCCACAGTAATGGATGAAATCCACACTGTTCTTAAGAAGGTTAGCTGTTTTCATAATTTCAATTTTTAAGTATTTCTGTGAGTTTTATTGTTACTGAGTTCTTAGTGGTGGTTATTTTATTTTAAAGATTTATTTATTTATGCATACAAGAACTGGTGTATGTGCCAGAGGTGTTGGGTGGTGAGAGGATTCACCAGAGACAGAGTGGGGAAAAGAGTAGGCAGAATTACTAAAATACTCTGCTAAGGGGAAGCAGCTGGTGAGATAGGAGAAGTCCGCTGCACCATATATGGGCTAGCTCCCTGGCCGGGGATCAAACTCAGGCCTTGGCGGTGATAACCTCTAGGCAATCAGGGAGGCCTCCTATTGGCTTTTTAAGACAGAAGTAATGGTAGCTCCCTGTCCTTTCCCAAATGACTTAAAAGTGTTTCCCAAAAGATTGTATTTTCCTAGAACTTAGTTGAGAAGTCAGTATGGTTTAGATCTTAAAAGCAAGTTTTACTTTTTTTCCTTTCATAGCCAGAGTGAGTTTGAACTTGAGGAAGATAAAACCATTTACTTCTTTTGTAAACCCATTTATTGTATCAGAGTTGAGAAATCCTCTTTAGCATTATCAAAATTAATTTATTATTTTTTGTCACTAAAAATAATCTATCATAGTTTCTCATTGCCATTGTAAGGAAATCAAGGAAGAGCTCCACATTTCGTGTATCACTTAGAGAATAATAAAATCCTACAGTGATAAATTTAAAATATAAAAAAAATTCTACAGTGCAAGGATTATACTACTGTTATTCCTAAGAACCACTAATTTGTCAGTGCTGAATTGGTTTTCTCAAATACTAGAAGTCATTGTGCATGTACTTGAGGGTTTTCTTTCATAGTTGCTCGCAGGGCCAGTTTTCATAGATGATAAAAAAGGGCTATATGGATTATTTCTGTTTACTAATGTATGTTGTTTTTAAAGTTACATGAGAGTCTTAAAAAAATCCTTTTCCATGTCTATTATTTTATAGGATAATGTGAAGAATGAAGATAAAGATCAGAAATCCAAGGAGAATGGAGCAAATCTATGATAAAAAAGACATGTGTTGATCAAAAATGATGTTAAATAATGTAATATATAAAAATCATGACACAAGAATGTTTGGAAGTGATGCATGTTTGATTCTAGTACTATAAATATCTGTTAGTTAAAATGATGTATAAAGTTTTATGAATGTGCGTCTTTGCTTTTGAAAATTGCTTGTAATTCCTGGCATTCAGATTATTAAACACTCCTTGAGTGAAATAATTTTGCATTGCAAAATGTTTTAGGATGAACTTTGTTATAGTTTTAACCCCAATAAAGTTCATCAATCTAATTGACAGTAGTATTTAATTATACCAAATGTCTTATTAAGATACCTAGAAAATTATAATTTTATTTATAGAAGTATTAGGTTTTTATTTTAATTTTTTAGTCTTTTTAAATTTCATTATAAATCATAAAACAGCATGTTGCTTAATTTTTGCGAGTCTTTTGAACTAGAATTTCTTGTTAAAAAAAAATCCCCTCTAATTATCATTTCTAAAAGCATTCTTTAAAAATTTATCCAAAAGAAAAATAAGAAAGTAGTGGACAGCTGCTATTCTTCTTTACATATGTTAGGTTTTACATAAAACTAGTAGTCTGATGTTAATATTACTGTTTTTAATTAATTGTTCTCCTTTCCAGAATAGCACCTATATGACTTCTAATTTTGAGGGGTTTAAAAAAAATTCAGTATGTCAAATGTACAGTTTAGCTACAAACCAGTAGATGTCAGTATGATACCTTAAGTTAAGCTTTGTTTAATTAAAAAAAAATATTTTTTTAAAGTCTGTGTACTTCCTTCAGAATTTTAGTGGACACATAAGTTGATTATGTGTTGAATTAAAAAAAAAGTAGGAAATGTGATATACTCAAAAGCATTGGCTCTCAACAATCAGTCATTTTGCCCCCAGTGGATTCTTGGTAATGTTTAGCAACAGGGAAGTGCTACTGGCATCTAGTGGGTAGAGGTCAAGGATGTTGCTAAACAGCCCAAGACAAAAAAATATAAATTAGCAGTGGTGCCCAGGTTGGGGAATTGGTCAGTTGGGCTAAAGAATGTAAGCTTAATATAAATTAAGCTTTTAAAAAATGAGTAATATTAATCTTAATGTTTTTTTAGGCAGCACTGCATCTTTAACAGATAGTGTTCTTATGTTCAAAATAACTTTTTTTTTTCTTAGCACAGAGACATTTATTTTCTGAATTTACATTTCAAAAGACTATATGATGAAGAAATCATTTGCTATTGCCAGATACATTCAAAATAACTCTTAAGGAATATTTCACTGTCATAGAAATAGATGCTATCTTATAGTTTATTTTATTTCATTTTGCTAGAATAATAGCTCAGTATTCCACATAGGTGAATATGAGAATGTAAGGGCCATGTTACAGATTATTGTAAGCTATATGGAATCCGCATAGCCCTTACTATGAAATAGATTAAAATACCTGAAATTCTTTCAAACCAATTTTTGTCTTAAGTTGCAGTTGCTGATCTAGTTTGTTGAACATCTTTGAAGTCCGATTACTGATTGGTCTATAATTGTACATTATGGTGTGTTTCTCCATCTTTATTTAAGGTGAAACATTATAGGGTAACTGGAAAGTTTGTTTGGTTGTTTTTTTTTTTACTTTTTTAAAAGATTGAATTATTTATGCATATAAGAACTGGGGCACAGGCCAGAGAGGCGGGGAGTGAGAGGATTCACCAGAGACAGTGGGGAACAGAACAGGCAGATTGACTGAAGTACACTGCTGAGGGGAGCAGCGGGTGAGTCAGGAGAGGTCTGCTGTGCCATGTGGGCTGCTCCCTGGGCTGCTTCCCTGGCCTGCCGGGGATCGAACTCTGTGCTGCAGAGGCTGCGGATTACTTCATAGTGCAGTGCCTAACCCCTTGAGCCACCGGAGAGGCCCTGGAAAGTGTTTTTTGCAAGGCAAAGTTATTTTGTTTTTGTTTTTTACTGAAGAAATTGTACTTCTTTTTCTGCTTAGCATTGCTATTGAACCCTCTATTTCCTAAAATCGTTTTTCTTCTTGTTTGACTAGGTTTTGCTTTTTAGGGTTTTTTTTTTTTTTAAGATTTATTTTATTTATTTATGCATACAAGAGCTGGCGTGTAGGCCAGAAGTGGGGGGGTGTGGGGGTGAGAGGATTCTCCAGAGAGTGGGGTGCAGAACAGGCAGATGACTGAAATACACTGCTAAGGGAGCAGCACGCGGGACAGGAGAGGTCTGCTGGATCGAACTCATGCCACAGTGGCTGGTGATAGCTTGATAGTGCTGAGACTTAAACTCCATGTGCCACCACAGAGGCCCCAGTTTTTTGTTTGTTTGTTGAGAAAAAGAAACAAAACCATGGGTAAAGGGCTCTTTCCTTTCCATCTGAAGGCAGCTATCAAGTCAGCCAAAATGGGTGCTTACAGGTATATCCAGGAGCTATAAAGGAAGCAGCCCAATGTGATATGTTTTCTTTTCAGGGTGCACTGCTGGCAGTACTGCCCCCATCAGCTCCACAGGGCTCCCCTGCCCCACCCAGCTGGACAAAGCACACAGATTGGAATATAAGGGCAAACAAGGTTCTATCATATATTGGGTTTGTGTTCCCTTGGTGGCCGCAGACATCCGGTTCCTAAGGGAAGCTTTCCTAGGGAAATCTTGCCCATCATGGTGTTAAGGCAGCTGAAGTTTGCTAAAAGGCTTTAGTCTGTTGCTGCGGAGCTAGCTAAACCCCAGTGGAGCTCTAAGAGTCCTGAATTCTTACTGGGTTGGTGACGAGTTCACATACAAATTCTCTGAGGTTATTCTCATCAATCCATAAAGTTACCATCCAGTCCATCACTAGACCAGTCCAGCATCACATGGAGACTTAAGGGCTGACATCTGCAGCGTTGTGGACTTGGAAAAGGCCACAAGTTCCACCCCATTGTGCAGCTTGGAGAAGGTGCAATGCTCTCTAACTCCACCATTACTGCTAATTAGTAATATTTGTACCATTTTTAACCTAATAAACAATTTAGGACAGTCAAAAAAAAATAGGGCCTTCCTATTGGCACAGGGGTAAAGTCAGGCTATCGAGTTATTGCCAGCCACTGACATGAGTTCGATCCCCTGCCAGGGAGCTAATCCACATGGCACAGCAGACTTCTCTTGTCTTGCCAGTTCTGCTCCCCTCTCTGTCACTGGTGAATCCTCACACCACCCCCCGCACCTCTGGCCTACACCCCAGTTCTTGTATGCATAAATTTTTTTTAAATCTTTTAAAAAATAAAAATGCCCACCACTGTTCTTTATTACCCCTTAACTCTTCCCTCTCTGAACTCTTTTCAGTTCTGGTGACCCCAGTTAGGTTACTAATGTCCACTAGTTTATTTTGCTTTGTCAGTTTTTCCTTTTTGTTTCCTTATATTCCCCGTATGTGTGAAATCATACTTGTTTTTATTTTTCTTATACTCTTCACAATACCCTCAAGGTCCTTCCATTTTGCTGCAAGTGACAGAATTTCATCTTTCTTTATGACAGAACATCATTCCGTTGTCCAGATATACCTCATCTTTATCCACTCATCCGTCAGTAGGTTGCTTCCATATACCTTAGCTATTGTAAGTAATGCCAAAATAAACATTGTAGAGTATATATATTTTTTGAGGTGACAGTTTTGTATTCTTCAGATGGATATCCAGAAGGGGCGATTTTGTATGGTATTCCCATTTTTAGTTTTTTAAGAAAAGTCCAGACCACTTTCCAAAATGGCTACAATAATTTACATTCCCACCAACAGTATATAATGATTCCTTTCTCCACATTTAAGATAAAAATCTGCAAGATAAACTTTTAACTAAAATACAGGATGTAGTTCCCGAATAGAGTGTATTTCTAAGTAAGAAAAAGGCCACCTGCCAAGACTTATTTTTCCCAAATAAATCAGAATAATAAAGAATGGAGAAAAAGTACCACTAACTTTTTTTTTTTAAAGATTTTATTCATACAAGGACTGGGGTACAGGCCAGATGTGTGCGAGGGTGAGAGGATTCACCAGAGACAGAGTGGGGAGCAGAACAGGCAGATGGACTGAAGACTGCTGAGGGGAGCAGCGGGCCAGGCAGGAGAGGTCTGCTGTGCCATGTAGGCATCTCCCTGGCTGGCCAGGAATCGAACCCACGCTGCGGAGGCTGCAAACAGCTTCATAGCACTGCGCTCACTGGAGAGGCCCCACCAGTAATTTCTTAGAGGTCAATTTCTCCATTAAGTAAATAAGTTATTTATTTGTTAACTTCCCATTATCAAGTAATTTCATTGAAAGTGGTGAAATGATTAAGCTACACAAAAAAGCAAGCTACATACAGAAAAGCTGGTTTTTTTTTTAAGACTTATTTATGCATACAAGAACTGGGGTACAGGCCAGAGATGCGGGGGGGGGGTGTGTGTGAGAGGATTCATCAGAGACAGATTGGGGAACAGAACAGGTAGGCTGACTGAAATACACTACTGAGGGGAGCAGTGGGCCAGTCAGGAGAGGTCTGCTGCGCCGTGTGGGTTGCTGGCGGGGGATTTAACTCATGCTGCAGAGGCTGCAGATTGCTTCATAGTGTGGTGCCACCAGGGAGGCCCCCCAGAAAGGATGGTTTTAAAGGAAAAAGCGTGGATATTTACTCAGGTGTCAAATTGCATTGTCCGGCCTCCCTGGTGGCGCAGTGGCTGCAGCACTGGTTCAATCCCTGGCCACAGGCGAGGGTCCCACATGGGGCGGCAGACCTCTCCTGTCTCACCCACTGCTCCCCTCAGCAGTGTATTTCGTCAGTCTGTCCTGTTCCCCGCTCTGGCTCCGGTGAGTTCTCTGACCCTCCCGCGCTTCAGACTATACCCAGTGCTTGTATAAATAAATTAACTAATTTTTAAAAAATTGCATTCTGTCACTGGACGTTGATCAAATAAAAAATTTAATCAGGTAACAAATCATAATACTTAATTTTAGTTTTCTACTCTGTTATGGATGACTTTTTTTTTTTTTTTTCATTTCTCATACTTGATTCAATCATTGTAGAACTGTTGAAATTTTAAGAATTGTGTTGTAATTAAGCCTACATACTAGTTGTAGTGGCTGGCAATAGCTTGATAAAGTCAACAAGAGACTTTATCCCTTGAGCCACCAGGGAGGCCCTGTACTGTTATAATTTTGTATCCACATTGTTTTGAAATTAGTTAAAAACTGAAGAGTATCTTTACAAATTGTTAAGCTTACTGGTATCACGAACATTTTTCAGAATTCTTTAACATATTTCATTGCCTTATGTTTTATTGATAGAGTAATATTTGAACTAATTTATTCTCTCTTTTTAAAAAAAATAT